GCCTGCCTGACGTTCCGGGAAGAAGCCGAAGAAGCCAGGACGGCGTGAGGGCGCGCGTCCGGGAGGAGCCCTGCGCAAGATGACCGCGTGGGCACCATCAGCGCCGGGAGGAGCTGCAGAGCCAGAAGGTGAGGGCCGGGCGGGCGGAGGACCGCGGAGGACCGCGGAGGACCGCGCTCTGCACGCGTTCACCATCCAGTACCCGCGCCTTTTACCCTCCGCCTTCCCCTTCCTATTTCAGTGAGGATCGCGAGCCCTTAGTATAATAAACTCAGGCCTTCGAGAAAGGAGAGGGAAAAAGCGTCCCTCCCGCCCCGGCCACGCAGTTGGCTTGTGGTTCTTCTGATTCTGTAGCTGAAGTTTGAGCTCGTGCGCGCTCGCTCGCTCGTTTTCTGTCTTTCTTTCTTTCTTCTTCTTTTTTTTTTAAGTGAGAGAGAGGGAGAGAGGGTGGGGGAGGCAGAGGGAGAGTCTTAAGCAGGGCAGGGCTCCATCCCTTGACCCTGAGACCATGAGCTGAACTGAAATCAACGGTCAGCTACTCGCCCAACTCAGGTGCCCCTGAACTTTATATACTTTTCCATTTCTTTTTTAAACCCAAGGTGCAGGGGCGCCTGGGGGGCTCAGTGGTTGAGCATCTGCCTTCAGCCCAGGGCGTGACCCCGGGATCCCGGATTGAGTCCCGCATAGGGCTCCCTGCATGGAGCCCGCTTCTCCCTCTGCCTGTGTCTCTGCCTCTCTCTCTGGGTCTCTCAGGAATAAATAAATCAAATCTTTAAAAAAAAAAGAATTGTTTTATTTTCGCGTGGTTGAATGTGTTCGTGGCGTGCTGGTAGATGGCCACCGGCGCTCTGAGGGGGAAAGAGAGAGCCGCGATTCACGATTCAGCGTCCGCCACTCTCCGCGGCGGATTTCAAACCAGCACCTGAACGTCAGTGAACCGAGTCCGAGGAGCTGGGTACGTGGCGGCCGCCGCACCTGCTGCCCGAGAGCGCCCCCGACCAGGGCCTTGCCCCCGCACCTTCCCGCACAAACGGCTCCTTCTCTGCCTTCCCGGCTGGCGGTTTTTTCCTGTTTATTTTTTTTTTATTTTTATGGTTTTATTAACACAAATATGACACGCACATAAGCTGTCTATTCATTTTCTTCGCTACGCAGCCTGGCATTGGGACTGGTGACTGATGGCCAGCTGGGCTGCTCTTTCCACAGTGGCTTTGCCGTTCTTGGAGGATACATTGTGAGCAATCTCTGCACAGTAAGACTTGTTGCACATCAGCAGCCCTTGCAGCTCCTTGACGTCGTGGCCTAGGAACTTCCGGAAGCCACTGGGCAGCACGCGGCAGCACGCGCTTTGTTTCCTTGTTGCTCCCGTAACCAATGTTGGGCATCGAGATCTGGCCCTTGAGTCTTCTGCTACCCTATTGTCCATGCCTCTGGGTTTCCGCCAGTGGCGCTTAATTTTGACATATCGGTCTGACTGGTGTCGGATGAACTTCTTGGTCCTCTTTTTAACGATCTTGGGCTTCACCAGCGGTCTGAGGGTGGCCGTGATGCCCGGCGGTCGACGGCTGCCACCTCCGCAGGCGGCGCCGAGGAGGAGCGTTCTCTCCTGTTTAAATCTTTGATCCCTCTGCTATTTTATTGAGGTGCGAGGTCCTGTGTAGAGGATCCCCCGCCCTATTTTTGTTTCCAGGTGCTAGCCCCTTGTCCTAGCGGAATCGTAGAGCTGCAGCCGTCCTAACAGAGCTCGTGGGAGGCAGCAGCTTTTCCCGGCGGCGGCGGCACGGTCTCCCGCTGCGCAGGGAGCTCTGCAAGTCCGCCCGTTTCTGGACTTTCTGTTCTGCCCACGGCTTGTCCCCTTGTGCTCCAGAACCACACTCTTAGCAGCTTCACAGGGTGTTTTCATATTTGGCAGAACTCCTCTCCTGTTACTCTTTTCAAACTAACTCACCCATGTCCTCTTTACCTGTTGATCGGGTGACAGACGCGTGGGTTTCCGTGTCCTGGCCGTGGGGGTGCAGGCGGCCTCCGAGGCTCATTTCATTTCCTCCAGATACAAACCCAGCGGTGCCATTGCCGGTCCTAGGGCAGCTCTGTGTCTAACTTCTTGGGGACCCTCCACGCTGATCTCCAGGCGTCTGCACCAGCCTGCATCCCCACCAGCGGTGCAAGAGGGCTCCCCCCTCTCCACGTCCTCGCCAACATCTGTCGTTTCCTGACGTCTCTTGGTGGTTTTGATTTGCGTTTCCCTGATGCCAACAGGTGTGGAGCATCTTTTCACGTGTCTGTTGGCCACTTGGATGTCTTCTTTTTCGAAGGGTGTCTATTCAGGTCCTTTGCTCATTTTTTATTTTTTTTTAAAGATTTTATTTATTTATTCATGAGAGACACAGAGAGAGAAGCAGAGACAGGCAGAGGGAGAAGCAGGCTCCCTGCAGGGGGCCCGATGTGGGACTCGATCCTGAGACCCCGGGGTCACGGCCTGGGCTGAAGGCAGGCGCCGAAGCGCTGAACCCCCCACGTGCCCATGGGCTCTCTATTCTATTCCTCTGGTCTATGTGCCTGTATTTATGCCAGGACCACAGTGTGTTGGTTACTATAGCTTTGTATTACAACCTAGAATCAGAAAGTGTGACACCTCCAGCTTTGTTCTTTTTTCTCAGCATTACTTTGGCTATTTGGGGTCTTTTGTGGTTCCAAATGAATTTTAGGATAGTTTTTTTCTATTTCTGTGGAAAATGTCATTGGAATTTTTATCGGGGGGATCCCTGGGTGGCGCAGCGGTTTGGCGCCTGCCTTTGGCCCAGGGCGCGATCCTGGAGACCCGGGATCGAATCCCACGTCGGGCTCCCGGTGCATGGAGCCTGCTTCTCCCTCTGCCTGTGTCTCTGCCTCTCTCTCTTTCTCTCTGTGACTATCATAAATAAATAAAAATTAAAGAAATGAATTTTTATTGGGATTGCATTGAATCTGTAGATTCTTTAGTGACAATTTTTGCATCTATATTCAGCAGGGTTATTGGTCTTTAATTTTCTTTTATTGTGGTGTCCTTATCTGGCTTTGGGATCAGGGTAATGCTGGGCTTGTACGAGGAGTTTGGGAATGATCTCTCTTCTTCCGTTTTCTGTTACTCTTCCTCGTAATAATTTTCCTGCCCACTCTTGCTGGCTTGGGTAATGCTTTTCCCAGTGAATTTTAGTATATGTCCTGCCGAAGTGAGCACCCCAGTGAATTTTAAAATCAGCTTGTCTATCCCCCAATTCTCCTTAGTAATTTTATTGGGATTGTATTAAATTCATGGATGAGTTTAGGAAGAGTTAATATATTTATGTTAAATGTCCTTATCCATGAATGTAGTACTCCACTCCATTTTCGGTGGTATTATGTTGTGTCTCGGGAACATTCCAGGGTTCTTGCATGTTTCTTGTTAAGGTGACTCCTAGGTCTTGTGTTGCTGCCCTTATTTATGGAATACTTTCTTCTGTTATGTTCTCTAACTTAATGCTTGTGTATTTTTTTTTAAGATTTTTATTTATTTACTCATGAGAGACACAGAGATAGGAAGAGAAGCAGAGACACAAGCAGAGGGAGAAGCAGGCCCCATGCAAGGAGTCTGATGTGGGACTTGATCCCGGGACTTCAGGATAGCACCCTGGGCCAAAGGCAGGCGCTAAACCGCTGAGTCACACAGGGATTCCCCAATGCTTGTGTATCTTGAGGCTCCTAGTATGACTACTAAGGATGCACCCAGACAATTTCCTGAATTAGCTGGGGAGCTCCCATCATTGCCCCTTAGAGTGTGATGCTTGTCTCCATACAGGTGCATGTCACCGAGGTGCAGTTTTGGTGTGTTGACCATCTATTGCTGTGTGAGAAATCACCCCAAGACTTGTTGGCCTAAAACAATATTAAACATTTATTATCTCATAGTTGGAAGTGGCTTAGCTGGTGACTCAGGCTTGTGGTCTCTCTCGAGGTTGCAGTCAAGCTGGAACTTGAGGGTCCTCTTGCAGAATGACCCACATACATTCCAGACAATTGGTGCTGGGGTTTGGCAGGAGGCTGCTGTCCCTTCTGGCATGGGACTGTCAGCGGGGCTGCTGGAGCGCCCTCACACGGAGGCGGCTGGCTTCCCGCCACGGTCAGCCTGGGAGCCGGGAGCAAGCACTGTCCTCTGGCCCAGCCTTGGTCGACAGACATCTGCCATATGTTAGCTCTCTCCATGGTTCAAGGGGACGCTACAAGGTTATGAATCTAGGAAGCAGGGACCCTTTGGGGTACATCAAGTCCCAGTGGGGGCACTGGCTGCTCTGCTAGGTAGCTGCCTGCTGAGTCTCAGCCAGTGAGCACAGCGCCTCAGTTTCCTCAAAGGTGACCACGGATGACACCTGTGCAGGAAAGCTGGGAATCAAATACTATTAAGCTGCAGAATGCCCCTGACCCCTCCAGCTGTCCAGAGAGGGGTGTGTGTGGCCCCTCCGGCTCGCCTGTTCAGGGTTCACCGATAGCTTTGGTGTATTTTACGGGGTTGGATGTGGCTGCAGAGCATCCTCAGGTGAGAGCCTCCCCAGGTAAGAGGGCGGGTCCCCTCTGACCTAGACTGGACGGAGCCGGTCGGCACAGCCCCGCCCCCCGCGCTCAGCCTCTCCCCTTCCCGGTCCTCCGGCGGGGTCCCCGGTGCCCCTCCCCGCGCGCCCTCCGCGGCCTGAGCGGCTCCGCAGCATCGGGGCGCCCGCCCAGCACCGGCCCTTTGCTCGGCTCGCGGCTCCCGCGCCCCCGCCCCCGCCCCCGCCCCCCGCGGGCCGGGCCCGTCTGCAAACCGCCGAGGCTCGTCCTCCCGGGGCCGAGCGCGCGGGCACCTGGGGCAGCTCGGGGCGCCTCCGGGCCGGGGCCGGGGTGGGGGTCGGGGCGCGGGGGGGCGGGGCGGGGCGGCGCCGGGCGGGAGGCGGGCCGGGGGCGGGGCGGGGGGCGGTGAGGTAATTTCCCGCGCTCGGGCGTCAGCGCCTTGAGTCACCGGGGGCAGAATCGAAAGTGATCGCAGGCGCGGGGCGGGAGCCGGGGCGCCGGCGGCGGGGGCTCGGGGCGCGGGTAAGCGCGGGCGGGCGGGCGGGCGGGCGGGGGGGGGGGGGTCGCCCCTGGGGGGGAGGGCGCCGGGTGCTCGGAAGCCACCTGCACCCTGGGCCCCAAGCCCCCGGCCTGCCCCCATCCTGCCCTCCCCTGTCCTGCCCCCCTGGTCCTGTCCCCATCCTGTTCCCATCCTGCTCCCCATCCTGCCCTCCCCGTCCTGCCCCCCTGGTCCTGTCCCCATCCTGCCCTCCCCTGTCCTGCCCCCCTGGTCCTGTCCCCATCCTGCTCCCCCGGTCCTGCCCCCCTGGTCCTGTCCCCATCCTGTTCCCATCCTGCCCCCATCCTGCCCTCCCCGTCCTGCCCCCCTGGTCCTGTCCCCGTCCTGTTCCCATCCTGCTCCCCATCCTGCCCTCCCCTGTCCTGCCCCCCTGGTCCTGTCCCCATCCTGCTCCCCCGGTCCTGCCCCCCTGGTCCTGTCCCCATCCTGCCCTCCCCGTCCTGCCCCCTTGGTCCTGTCCCCGTCCTGTTCCCATCCTGCTCCCCATCCTGCCCTCCCCGTCCTGCCCCCGTCCTGCCCCCCATCCTGCCCCCCGTCCTGCCCCCCATCCTGCCCCCATCCTGCTCCCCATCCTGCCCTCCCGGTCCTGTCCCCGTCCTGCCCCCATCCTGTTCCCATCCTGCTCCCCATCCTGTCCCCATCCTGCCCTCCCCGTCCTGCCCCCCGTCCTGCCCTCCCGGTCCTGTCCCTGTCCTGCCCCCCATCCTGCCCCCCCGTCCTGCCCCCATCCTGCTCCCCATCCTGCCCTCCCCGTCCTGCCCCCCGTCCTGCCCCCCATCCTGCCCTCCCCATCCTGTCCCCATCCCACCCCCATCCTGCTGCCATCCTGCCCTCACCCCGGGGGTGGGAGGGGGCCGCGGTCTCCACACCTCAGGTCCAGAACCCTTCGCATTGCCCTGTTTACCAATATCCAGCCGGCTGGAGGTCCCCCCGGCCCCCCTGCAGGTGGACTCATGATTCTCTGTGGAGCGGGGTGGGCTTTCCCACTCGGGGCTGAGGCTGCGGCTGCAGCTGTTTCCTCCAAAACATCTCTCGGTGCCCTCAAAGTTTTCCCCGAGAGTTCCCCTGAGACCCAGGGCATCCCCATTTCCTTCCTTCTGCAGCTCTGAGGCTCACAGTCCTGGCTGCCCCCCCCCCCCACCAACCCTCCAGCTGCCCCGGGGTTCTTAGGAGCCATCACTTTGCAGAGCCAGGGAGGGGGTCAGGGGTGCACTGCAGGGCGCGTGCTGTGTGTTTAGAGGAGTCCGTGCTTGAGGGGCCTTCAGTACAAGGACCCAGGAGGGAGGCTCCCGGGAACCCAGAGAGTCCCTGGGCCCCCAGGGCATCTGCCAGTCTGCAGGCTCCTGTTGCCAGGGCAAACCACTCCCCCTCCACCCCCCCCCCGCCCCCCCCCGCAGGCTCCTCTCCAGCAGGCTCCTCTCCAGCAGGCTCCTCCCCAGCAGGTCCCAGAAACCCTTCAGAAGAGGGAGGGTCTCGGCTGGGTTGGGGTAGGTGGGGCCCAGCTCCTCGGACCTAGCACCTCTCCTCCTGTCTGGCGGACGGAATGCTCCCTGCTTCTGCTTCCACCTCTGCCACCCCCGGCCTGATGGGGACGCCCCGTGTGTCCGAGCCCCCACCCCGGGGTACACGTGGGCCTCTTGGCCTCAGGGTCTGACCTTGCTCCTTCCCTTCCAGACTTCTCACATGGCTGAACGGCCCCAGAGGACCAGCTGAACCGGGAGCCTGGGATGCCGCTCCGCAGAGCCAGGCCAGAGATGGTGTCCCGAGGGTCCAGCTCATCGCCCAGCAGCCCCATGGCCACCAAGGAGCTACCTCTGGCCAGACTGTGTGCCCAGCTGGACCTGCGACTAGGCTGCTCCCGCTGTACTCAGCGCCTCAATGAGAGCACCTACCTACTGCGCCAGGTAGAGCACAGCTGTCCCCAAGCCATCCTGCTGGCCCGCTTCAAAGGAGCCACCAAGAGCAGGGTCTGGCGCAAGGTGGACCGCCGGCCCAGCTTCCCACGGCCTGCCCGCTATGAGGTCTGCTGGTACTACAGCCCGGGGCTCGGCTGCCAGCGCCACCGCAACCAGTGCACCTTTGCCCGAAGCCGGGAGGAGGCCCTGGTCTGGACCTTCGAGCGTGAGCACAACGTCAGGCGCATGTGGCTGAAGTCCGAGCTGCAGGGCGGTGGGGCCCAGGGCGAGCTGCGCGGCCCAGCCGAGGCCATCCGTGCCGAGTACGGCGGCCACTTCCAGCTGCTGTGCTCCCACTGCTTCCGCTGCTGTCCTCCCCGCGTCTGCCCGGTGGACGCCCAGGGCCGCTGCCCCGAGCATGGAGCCTGCCCCTCGCTCCTGACCCACGTGAGCACCGAGGGCCGCCGCAAGCAGCAGGTTGTGGAAGTGCGGCCGCAGCCCCAGTACGGCCAGCCACTGGCCTACTGCATGTTCGTGGGGCGCGGGCGGCCCTGCCGGCACGGGGCATCCCGCTGCCAGTACGCGCACAGCGCGGTGGAGATGGCCGTGTGGGAGGCTGAGCAGCTGGACGGCCTCAAGCGGTGCGACCTGCTCTCGCCCGCTGCCCCCAGCGGGGAGGAGCGCACAGCCCCCCGTGGCCAGGCCCCCAGGGTCAAGCTGTACTGCCGTGCCTGCCTGGTCACCTGCCACTCCCAGGAGGCCTTTGAGAACCACTGCTCGTCCCTGGAGCACGCACAGATGGTGGTCTTGGACCAGGCCGAGTGCTGGGAGCACCGCAGCCCACCCACGGGGCTCTCCACCTTTGAGCTCTGCCCAAAGTAAGGACTGTGGGGTGGGGGAGCGGGGTGGGGGGGTGAGCCAGGGGTTCCCTGTCCCCTCCGTGGTATGGGCGGGCCCCCACGTTGGCCTCTGGGGCTGGTCAAGGGAGGTTCATTGAGGCCATTGTTGCGGGCACCCCCTGCCCCCCCCCCTCCCCCGGGCCTGGAATGTGCCCCGCCTCCCCCACAAGCCAGCTTGGGGCTGAGAGGGCTAAGCCCTGCTCTGCTTGCTCGCCTCCCCTTTCCCAGTCCCAGCCTCTGTGAGTATGGGGACATCTGCACCAAGGCGCATTCAGAGCAGGAGCTGCAAGAGTGGACCCGACGGGTGCAGGCCGTGAAGCTGCGGGAGCGGGCCGCCTGGCAGGAGGGGCTGGCGTCTTACCAGACGCGGCTGCTGGCTGAGTACCAGCGGAGTAGCAGTGAGGTTCTGGTGGTAAGCGGGGACCAAGTGAGTGGGAGGGCATCGCTGGGGCCAGAGCCACCCCGCTGACCGCCAGGCTTCCCTGCGCAGCTGGCTGAGACCGTCGAAGGCGTGTCCATCACATGCAAGCAGCCCCTGGTGCATGAGGCCCATGAGAAGAAGACTCAGCACAGCTGGATATTTGACGTCAACTCGAAGGTGAGGAGCCAGCAGGCCCCGGGTTGGCTGGGGTTTGGGGTCTGCAGCCGCTGCCTTGTGCCTCCCCTTGGCCATGCCCGTGTGACCCGGAGCACGTCAAACGCTGTGGGGTTATTCCGTGCAGTGTCTGACAGAGGGTGGGGACCGGGCTAGTGACCGCGTGTGCCCGGAGCTTCCCTACACCGTGGCCTCACTCAGCATCCACAGGGGCTGCCTCAGCCAGCCTGTGGCCCCCTTTGCAGAGGGGACCCCAAGGTTCAGACTGGCCGAGCGCCCTTCGGGGGTGACAGCAGGGTGGGGAGGGCCGGGTGTGTCGCCTGGACTCTGACGGGCGGGCCGGGGCTGGGCGCCCTGACTGTGTAGTCTCTCTCCCAGGAGCCCCTGCTCCACGTGGCCCTGCTGAAGCAGGAGCTGGGCGCAGACTTCTGGCTGGCGGCCCCTGGCCTCCCGTCGGGCCAGCTCTATGCGAAGGGCGAGCGCTTCCAGGCGCGGGCCTCGCCAGCCACGTTCCAGGTGGAGGTGCGCGTGCGGACTGCCTCCTTCGGCTGCTTCGAGCAATGGCTGGTCTTGGACTTCGGCCGCAGGCCAGTGCTGCTGCGGAAGCTGAGGCTGCAGGCGGGCCAGGTGCCCTGCCCGGGGCTGCGGGGGATGCCGGGGGACAGCTGCCCCAAGGAGCTGGAGCGCTGGCACACCGGCAACCGCCACGTGGTGCCTGGTGTGGTGCGGACGGCCGAGCAGGAGGCCCTGGTGGCGATGTACAAGGTGCCCGCCCTGGCCCTGGACTTCAGTCCCGGCGGCCTGGCCTCCGGCCCCATCTCCTGCACCAACTACCGGCAGAGGATGCATCAGTTTCTCTACGAGGAGGAAGCCGTGCAGCAGCAGCTGGTGGCCAAGTGAGTGAGGGCGGGTGGGCAGGGGACGGCCGCTGCTGGGGTGTCGACGGCCGAGCGCCGGCCCCGTCCGCTGACCCTCGTCCTCCCCGCAGGCTGAATTTCCGGGGCGCCGTGGCCCTGAGAACGTCACTGCAGACGCCGGCCCTGGGCATGCTCTTCCCGCCGTCAGGAGCCCTGTACGCCGAGGTCCCCAGTCCCTCGTCTCTCTTGCCAGACACGGACCAGGGCTTCCTGCTGGGCCGGGCGGTCAGCACAGCGCTGGTGGCCCCCGTCCCTGCGCCTGACCACACCGTGTACGAGGTGCGGCTGGAGACCCGGGCCAGCTCCGAGCAGGCACTGTGGCTGCTGCTGCCCAACCACTGCTGCTCGGCCCTGGGGCTGCAGCCCGAAACCAGCCCCACCTTGGAGGTGCAGTTCCAGGTCGACCCGCTGACCTTCCGCTTCTGGCACCAGGCGGTGGACGCGCTGCCTGAGGAGCGCCTGGTGGTGCCTGACCTGCCGACTTGCGACCTGCCCCGCCCTCTGCCCATCCCGCCCGCAATGCACGGCAACCGCAAGCAGAAGCTGGCAGTGGCCTTCATTGCGGGCAGCAGCCCCGGGGGCGGGCGGCCCATTGCCCCGCTGCTCATCTATGGCCCTTTTGGCACAGGCAAGACCTACACGCTGGCTATGGCCTCCCTGGAGGTCATCCGGCAGCCGTACACCAAGGTGCTCATCTGCACACACACCAACAGGTGAGCAGAGCCACCACCCGACCTGCCCGGAGCCTGCTTCCCTAGGATCTAGGGCTGGGAGCGTGTGCCCCTGGCTTGGGGGGTCACCACCAGAGAGGAAGGGGAGGCCGCTGGAGGCCCGGGCATGACCGCCTGTGTTGCCTGGCCATCGGCCCAGTGGGGCTGGGCTCGGCTCGCATCCTCTGGCCGCCCTGTGGACGCTGGGGGGCGGGGAGCAGCGCGGCCCCTGGGGTGAGTCTGGTCACTCTGATCCTAGGGACCCTCTGTCCTAGCTGACTGGTCCTGGGCTAAGAGACACAGGGGTCACCTGTGCTTCAGGCCCAGTGCAGGGCGCCCCGGGGTCAGGGTGTGCTGCTTGGGGAGGGGCCCGGGGCGAGGTCCTGGCGTTGTCTCTGAGACGAACACAGACTCTTCCCTCAACCTGTCAACCGATCCCGTCGGTCAGTGTGGTTTTCTTAGCGCCCAGCACTTGCTGCTCAGGAGGGGTCTCTCCCGCGGGGGGCCCGGCTTGTGCCCCAGAATGCGCTGGCCCTGGGTGTGTGAGGGGCTGGCCTCAGTGCTCCTGAGAGCCGGCGCCAGGTCTCCCGGCCCCTGGCCCCCCTGTGGCTTCCCCGACCTGCGCTGTTGCCAGTTCTCATCTGGCTCTGACCTCCCGTGTTTCTCTGTCTGTGTGTCCGTCCTCTGTGCTGGTGTTTAAGCTCTGTGGGGGCAGGACAGGCCTCGCTGCAGGCCAGGCCGGGCTCACAGTCGGGTCTGAATGGACAGCCGCTGAGGCCCCGTGTGCCCTTCTGCCCTCAGTGCGGCCGACATCTACATCGAGGAGCACTTCCATGGCTACGTCAGCAGCGGCCACCCCGAGGCCGCCCCGCTCCGGGTGATGTACACGGACCGCCCGCCCAGCCAGACGGACGCCACGGTGCTGCAGTACTGCTGCCTGACGCAGGACCGCCGGGCCTTCCGCGCGCCGACGCGGGCCGAGCTGGAGCAGCACCGCATCGTGGTCACCACCACGTCGCAGGCCCGCGAGCTCAGGGTGCCCGCCGGCTTCTTCTCACACGTCCTCATCGACGAGGCCGCGCAGATGCTGGAGTGCGAGGCGCTCACCCCGCTGCGCTACGCCGCGCCCGGCACCCGCGTGGTGCTGGCGGGGGACCACATGCAGGTCACGCCCCGGCTCTTCAGCGTGCCCAGGGCCCAGGCGGCGGGGCACACGCTGCTGTACCGCCTGTTCCAGCACTACCAGCGGGAGGCGCACGAGGTGGCCCAGCGGAGCCGCCTCATCTTCCACCAGAACTACCGCTCCACGGAGGCCATCCTCAGCTTCGTCTCGCGCCACTTCTACGTGGCCAAGGGCAGCCCCATCCACGCCAGCGGCCGCGTGCCCCCGCACCCCAGGCTGCACCCGCTCATGTTCTGTCACGTGGCGGGCAACCCCGAGCGCGACCTGTCCAGCACGTCCTGGCTGAACGCGGCGGAGGTGGCCCAGGTCGTGGAGCAGGTGCGGGACCTCCACGACGGCTGGCCCTCCTGCTGGGGCGCCCAGGAGCAGAGGCACATCTGTGTCGTGTCGCACGGCGCCCAGGTAAGCGCACCCACCTGCGCTTGAGCCCCGTGACTGCAGCCGGGGCGGGGGCTCCGGGGCACTGGGCGGGGGGCCAGGGTCCCACCCTTGGGGGGCCCACACCGCACGCCCAGCGCTCACCCAGGCCCGCTGCGCCGGCCGCGTGTCTCCAGGTGACTGCACTGAGGCAGGAGCTGAGGAGGAGGAACCTGGGACAGGTGTCCGTGGGCAGCTTTGAGATCTTGCCAGGTGGGCGCCGGGGGCGGGGGCGGGGGGGCCTCCCCTCCTGGCCTGGCCTGGCCTGACGGTGCCCCCTTGCAGGCCGGGAGTTCCGGGTGGTGGTGCTGAGCACCGTGCACAACCACCACAGCCTGCTGAGCTCAGGGACAGCCTCCCTCGGGTTCTTCACGGACGCCCGCGTGCTCAACACCATCATGACCCGCGCCCAGTCCCAGGTGGTGGTCGTGGGGAACGCTCTGGCCCTCTGCTCCTCCGGGGCCTGCAGCAAGCTCTGGAAGAGCTTCATCCGCGAGTGTGTGAAGCATCACAGCGTCTGCCCCGAGAGCCTGTCCCTGGAGCACATCGAGCAGGGCGTGCTTCAGCAGCAGCGCTGGGCCCTCCAGGCGGGGAGGTCTGCGGCAGCGGCGGCCCTGGACGCTGTCCCAGAGGAAGGGGCAGCAGGGGAGCCGGCCCCGGAGCGTGTGGCCATGGGGGCCACGGCTCGGGGGAGGACCTTCCCGTCTAAGACCTCAGCAGCAGGAGACAAGGCCACGCCGCGGGCAGAGGCAGGGGACGCGGCCTCAAGGTCCGTGGCCAGGGGCTGCTCCGTGGCGGGGGGCCCTGCCACGGTGCCCACGGAGGTGGAAGGCGCAACATCGGCACCATCGGGGACCTCGTCGCTGGGGGACGGGACCTCCAGGAATGCGGTGGCAGGGCTGACGGCCACGGAGAACAGGGACCCCGAGGACCCTGAGGACACTGAGTCCGACTTCTGGCCTTCTGACACGGAGCTCAACGCAGACGACTCCATCCTGCAGGAGCTTCTGGATGAAGGCCGGAACGTGACGGTCACCGTCCGGGAAGATGGGCTCCTGGACACCATTGCCAGGCCCGAGTCCCCGCACCAGGCCCGGCAGTACACACACCTGCCACGGGCCACCCTGCAGAAACTACTCTGCTCGGAGCCCGAGCTGTACCGCCACTGTGCCTTCGTGCAGGAGACCTTCGAGCAGGCGACAGCCCTCCCGCTGGATGACGTGGCTTCCAGCCCCATCCAGATCAGGGGCCGCCTGCACTGTGGGATGGCTTTCAGCGGGGACGAGGTGCTCGTGAAGGTCCTGGGCCAGGACACGGGCTGCCCCGGGAGGCGGCAGGGCTGCGTGGTGGGCGTGCTCAAGAGGAAGCGCCGGGAGCTGGTGTTCGTGTGCCGCATGGATGAGTGGGACTCTCGCATCATGACCCCCGTCGATGGCTCTGTGACAAAGATCTTCGTGGCCGAGCTGAAGGACCCGCTGCAGGTGCCCATCCACCGCGTCCAGCAGGGCCGCGTGCAGCGGGTGGGGTATGAGCAGCTCACGGCCGAGGCCCGGGGCAGCCGGCTCTTCTGGGTGCGCATCGTCCTGTGGCGGCAGCGCTTCTACTACCCGCTGGGCATCGTCCTGGAGGTGCTGCCCGAGGCCACCACGTGGGAGCAGGGCCTCCGCATCCTGGACCTGGAGCACGGCTTGAGGAAGCCCTCACCAGAGCCCGCAGCCCTCTGCAAGGTGCTGCAGAAGTACCGGGCGGAGCTTGGCCGGGCCCCCGACCACCGGGAGGACTGTCGCGGCTTCCCAACCTTCACCGTGGACCCCCAGGGCGCCCAGTACCTGGATGATGCCCTCAGCGTCCGCGATCTGGGCCCCAGGTACCAAGTGGCTGTGCACATTGCTGACGTGGCCAGCTCCCTCCCCAGGGACGGGGCCGTGGACCTGGAGGCGCGCAGGCAGGGCATCACGTTCTATGCCCCTGACCGGGAGCCGGTGCCCATGCTGCCAGCCGGCCTCTGCCGTGACGCGCTCAGCCTCCTGCCCGGCCAGGACCGCTTGGCCATCTCCCTCTTCCTCACCGTGGAGAAGGGCAGCAACCAGCTCAAAGGCCTGCACTTCGCGCCCTCTGTGATCTGCTCCGACCGCCAGCTGTCCTACGAGGAAGCTGAGGCCATGATCCGGAGGCACCCGGGTGCTGGCCGCGAGCTGCCCGCCCAGCTGGACTCTGTGGACGCCTGTGTCGTGGCCGCGTGCCACTTCTCCCGGGTGCTGCGCCGGCTCCGCCTGCAGACCGACTCCCACTACGAGCAGCCCAGCGAGGACTGTGTGCTGGGCTTCCGTGCGGCCCACGTCATGATCAAGGAGTACATGATCCAGTTCAACAGCCTGGTGGCCGAGCTCCTGGTGAGCAGCGAGCCCACGCGGACCGTCACGCCGCTGCGGTGGCAGCCCACACCCAGTGAACGGCAGCTGGGGGCCCTGTGTGACAAGCACCGAGAGCTGGTGGCCCTGTCGCTGCACCTCCGCCACCACCTGCCCAGCCGCGGGTCTCCCGGCAGCCACATCTACCTCCTGGCCTCCCTGTGGGAGCACGTCCAGCTCGCAGCACGCGCCGGGGACTGGAACCGCGTGGAGGACCTCATCACCACGGACGACTTGCACCCTTCTCTGGCTCCCGTGGGCCTGGACCTCCGCAAGGCTCTGGGCCGCTCTGCGTTTGGCCGCTCCTGCCAAGGTGAGCGGCAGGCGGCTGGCCACTACTCGCTGCAGGTGGACTGGTACACGTGGGCGACCTCCCCCATCCGCAGGTACCTGGACGTGGTGCTGCAGCGGCAGATCCTGCAGGCGCTGGGCCGCGGCGGCCCCGCCTACTCCGCCCGCGACATCGACGGGCTGTGCCAGGAATTCAGCTACCAGCACGGGCGCGCCCAGAGCTACCAGCGCCAGGCCCGAAGCCTGCATCTAGCGGCGCAGCTCAAGGTCCAGCCGCGGAGCAAGCTGGGCTTCGTGGTGGGCGTGGAGACCGGCTCCCGCTGCTTCAGGCTGCTCTTCCCCGCCGACCCCGAGGCCCTGCCGGACCTCTGCCCCGTGCACTACCGCTCCTTGCAACTGGCCGAGCACCCCGGCAACCTGGAGGGGCGGCCGGGCCTGCGGCTTGTGTGGCGGCGCCGCATCTACTCCGTGTGGGCAGACGGGCCGCGCTCCCCGCTGCCGGGCGCCCTGCTCGACCCACACACTAGGCCCGTGGACGCCAGCCTATGGCAGCAGCTGCTGGAGCTGGTGCAGGAGCAGCGGTGGCCGGAGCTGGCTGCCCTCGTGCGGGAGCAGGGCGCGGCGAAGCCCCAGCAGCGCAAGCTGGGCCGGGTGTGGCAGAGCCCCTGCGGCCACTTTGTGGAGGTGGCCCGGGAGCTGGGCGGGGGGGACACGCTGCAGGTGCAGCTCAGTGCCACCCTGCAGCGTGGCTTCCTGGCACCGAGTCTGCAGCTGTGCACGGTGGCACCCGGCTTCACCCTCTGCCTGGAGCACGTGGAGCGGCTGAGCAGCTGCTTCCTGGACCAGATGCCCCAGGCCGTGCGAGACCGCTGTCCCGACGTGGCGGAGTACTCCCGCGTGTGGGGGCCGTTCTGCTCCTTGGAGTCGGCCACCAGCGCCGTCTTGGAGAGTGACTCCATCACGCTGCAGCACGTGAGCATATCCTGGGATGCGAAGCAGATGCCGCAGCGGCGGCTCCGGGGCTCCTTCTGCCTGGAATCCTCCTTCCTCAGCGAGCACTGCATCGACCTCAGCTTTGGCCACTGCTACCTCTGCCTCCGGCTCGAGGGGCTGCTGGCCGTGCCCGCCGCAGAGAAGCTGCTCCCCCCTGCTGGCCCCGGCCAGCCTCCCCCGGCCACCCCGGCCTGCGGCCCCAGCGGCCCCGGCCCCTTCCTGAGCATCGACCCCGACACGTACACATGGGTGGCCCACGGGCTGACAGAAGAGTGGGACCCGAAGGAGGGCCGGGTCGACCGGCAGGAGACCCCCAAGCAGGTGCACTTCTTCATCCAGCACATGGCCATGGAGAAGGTTCCAGAAGAGGTGCTGAGGCCCGGCGCCCGATTCACCATTGAGGTGCTGCCCAAGCAGCTTCCGGACATGTGAGTGGCCTCCACGGGGGGACGCCAGGGAGAGGCTGGCGGGCGGGGTGGGGTGACAGCTCCCTGGGTTCCCTCCCCGGGCCAGTCCTGCGGGTGCCCAGTGTCCCCCTCACCACCACCTGCCCCCAGTCGCAAGGAAGAAGCCGTGCGCGGGCTGAAGTGCGCATCCCCGCTGGTCATCAACATTGCCCTGGGCCGGCCCATCCCGCTGCCCCGCCAGCTTCTTTCCCAGCAGACCCGCGGCCGAGGTAGGTGGAGGTCCGGCCAGCCCCCGCCCCGCCGCCGAGTCCCTTCATCTGGCCTGGGCCCTGCCCTGCACCCCTGCTCAGCCAGGCCTCACCCTCCCTTAGGGACATACAGCAGGTTCCTGGAGAAGCAGGCGTTCGACCTCCCTGGCGGCCCCCACACGCTGAACCGCAGCCAGAACAGGGCTGTCAGGGCGGCTCTCAAGAAGCAGTTCACCGTGATCCAGGGCCCTCCAGGTGGGGCCCCTGCCGGGGCTGTGGGTGCTTGGGGCCGCCCGTGGGGGGGGCGGCTCTGCTCATCGCGTTCTCTGCCCACAGGGACCGGGAAGACGGTGGTGGCCTTCCACATCGTGTTCTGGTTTCACAAGTCAAATGAGGAGCAGACGGGGGCCTGTGACGCCCCCAGGGAGAAGCAGCTGGGGGGTCCCTGCATCCTGTACTGTGGCCCCTCTAACAAGTCGGTGGACGTCCTGGCAGGTGCGCGGGGTTGGCTGTGGGGGCTTCGCCCAGGGGTGCTGGCCCAGGGACCGTCCCTGACGCCCCGTGGCCACCAGGGCTGCTCCTGAGCAGGAGAACGGAGCTGAAGCCGCTGCGAGTGTACAGTGAGCAGGCCGAGGCCACAGAATTTCCGATGCCGGGTGTGGGCAGCCGGGGCCTGCCCAAGAAGAGCCCCCGGGAGGGGAGGCCCAACCAGACCCTCAGGTGCGGTCACTCAGCTGTGTGTGTGTGAGTGGAGGCCCCAATCCCATCTTGGGCGAGAACTAACGCAGCTTCACGGATGTCCCCCACCCCAGGAGCATCACCCTGCACCACAGGGTCCGGCAGTCCTCCAACCCCTACGCACCGGACATCAGGGACTTTGATGCCCGGCTGCAGAAAGGGGAGATCCTTTCCAAGGAGGACCTCAGGTGGTAAGCAGCCGGGGCCATGGGGTTGTCTCCGGCCTCGGGCCGTGGGCTCGCTGTAGGACCAGATGGCATCCCGGTGCAGGTACAAGACCGTCCTGGGGAAAGCACGGAAGTTCGAGCTGGACCAGCACAGGGTCATCCTGTGCACGTGCTCCTGTGCGGCCTCAGCCAGCCTCAGGAAGCTGGACGTCCGGCAGATCCTCATCGATGAAGCTGGCATGGCCACGGAGCCGGAGACCCTCATCCCTCTGGTGGCCTTCTCCAAGGCCGAGAAGGTGAGTGCCGGGAGCCCCATGCGGGGGTCACGGGCTGTGGGCTTCAACCCGGAGGGTGGCATCGCGGTCATGGTGCGGTGGCAATGGCCACGGAGCTGCGTCCCTCTAGGCCTGTGCCCGCCTGCCCCCAGGTGGTTCTTCTCGGGGACCACAAGCAGCTGCGGCCAGTGGTCAAGAACGAACAGCTGCAAAATCTGGGGCTGGATCGGTCTCTGTTCGAGAGGTACCACATGGACGCGCACATGCTGGACACGCAGTACCGCATGGTAAGCCGGTCCCAGCGTCTAGGCCTCCGGCCCGAGGTGTCACCGCCCGGGTCCTGACCTCCGGTGTCCACCTGGCCTTTTCTGGGGCCACAGGAGGCCCGCAGGCCCCCCAGCTCTGGACCCTAAGACAGGTAGACAATGACGTGCCCCTGGCGCATGCCCTGCCTTGCAGCACGAGGGCATCTGTGCCTTCCCCTCCATGGAGTTCTACGAGAAGAAGCTGAAGACCTGGCAGGGCCTGAGGCGGCCGCCCAGCATCCTCGGCCACGTTGGCAAGGAGAGCTGCTCTGTCATCTTCGGCCATGTGCAGGGCCATGAGCAGAGCCTACTGGTGTCCACAGATGAAGGGAATGAAAACTCCAAGGCCAACCCGGAGGAGGTGGCCGCGGTGGTGAGTGCCAGTGAGACCTTCCTAGTGCCCCAGGGTCAGGGAGGGCTTCCTGGGGGAGGAGGCAGAGGAACTGAGGGAACGGCGAGGCCCTGGTGTCCAGGGCAGGAGAGGCGCCTGGGCCAGCTTCAACAGCACCCCCTTGGCCCCTCAGGTCCGCATTGCCAAGCAGCTGACTCTGGGCAGGACGGTGGAGCCCAAGGACGTTGCCATCCTCACTCCCTACAATGCTCAGGCTGCGGAGATCAGCAAGAGGCTGGTGCGAGAGGGCGTCTCCGGAGTGACCGTGTGCTCCATCACCAAGAGCCAGGGTGAGGGTGGCCCTGGGGCAGGGAGCGCGTGCCACGCGGGTCCCAGGGTGGGCGAAGCGCCGGGCGGGGCCTCATGGTGCCGGCCCAACTGCAGGAAGCGAGTGGCGCTATGTGCTGGTGAGCACGGTCCGCACGTGCCAGGAGAGTGACCTGGACCAGCGGCCAACGAAGAGCTGGCTCAAGAGGTTCCTGGGCTTCGTCGTGGACCCCAACCAAGTGAACGTGGCCATCACCCGGGCCAGAGAGGGGCTCTGCGTGGTCGGTAAGGTTGCCTGCCCGGGGTGGGGCGGGGCGGGGCTCCCTGGGGTGGGCGGGGCTTCTCCTGGGGGCGGGGCTCCACGGGTGGGCGGGGCTTCTCCCCGGGTGGGCGGGTGGTGGGGCTTCCCCGGGGGGTTGGTTCCCTGGCAGGGGGGTACTGGGTGTGGCTCCTCCTGGGGGTGTGGCTCCCTGGCTGGGCGGGGCTCCTCGGGTGGGTGGGGCGGGGCGGGGCTCCCCTGGGGGTGTGGCTCCCTGGCTGGGCGGGGCTCCTCCCCAGGTGGGTGGGACGGGGCTCCCCTGGGGGGGTTGGTTCCCTGGCTGAGGGGTACTGGGCGGGGCTCCTCCCTGGGGGCGGGGCTCCTCCCGGGGGGGGGGGGGGCACCCTGATTGGGCAGGACTCCCTGGGGGTGTGGCTTCCGGTGGGCGGGGCTCCTCCTGGGGGCGGGGCTCCCCGGGGTGCGGCTCCCTGGTTGGACAGGACCTCCTGGGGCGGGGCTCCTCTGGGGGCGGGGCTCCCGGGGTGTGGCTCCCGGTGGGCGGGGCTCCCGGGGTGCGGCTCCGGTGGGCGGGGCTCCTCCTGGGGTGCTCCCTGGGGGGGCACTGGGCGGGGCTGGGCCCCCCACGGAGCCCTCCGCCTTCCCTCGCCCCGCAGGAGACCACCGCCTCCTGAGCTGCTGCCCCCTGTGGCGGCGGTTCGTGGACTTCTGTGAGGCGCAGCGCAGCCTGGTGCCCGCCGGCCAGGTGCGGGTTCGCAGGAGGCCCGCCGTGGCTCCCGGGAGCGGCCGCTCCACCTGCCCGGGCCTGGGGCTGCCCGGCGGCGAGGCCAAGCCCTGAGCCCTGCCCCGGCCTGGCTGGCCACCCACTGCGCAGAAGCCCGGGCCCTCCGCGGGCCCTCTGGCCGCCTACCTGGCGGCTTGTGAGCAATAGCAACCCCCTTCTGGAGTCTTGGCCTCCCCCGGGCAGGGAGCCCGCCAGGCCGCGCAGCCGGCAGGTGCGGACAAGGGGGAAGAACGCGGCCTCCTGGGGAGCTGCTTCCCTTGGGACATTTGGAGACAGGGAACGTCTCGGGGGCCAGGGAGGGGGCCTCTGGGCCTTCTGGTGTTGCCCGGAAGGAGGTCCCAGCCGGGCTGCTCTTCGGTCCTTGGATGCCATCCCTGACCCCACTGGGTGCTGCTGGCTGGGGAGCTCAGTCTACTTTCTTCTTTCTTTTACTTTTTTTTTTTTTTCAAGTAGGCTCCATGCCCAACGTGGGGCTTGAACTCCTGGCCCTAAGATTAGGAGTTGCATGTTGTACCGACGGAGCCAGCCAGGCCCCCCTGTTTTTAATTTTTAAATAAGCCAAAAGCCAGTGGCTTTTTTTTACTGGAGCAAGTTCCTTCGCCCAAACAGGCAGAGAGGCCCCCCCGGAAGAGAGGGCCTGTTCTGTGTCTGCACCACCCTAAGTGGGACCCCAGCCCTGTGTCCTTCGGGAGCCACCTGCCCTTGCAGGAGGAAGGGGGGACCAGAACCAGGTGCCCACACCTGGACCGTGGGTGTGCGGGGTGGCCTGGGATTGGGGTGCCCCTGGATGGGCAGCCTTCTTGTGCCTTCAGCCTGACCTCTGCCTCCCCTTTGCAACCTCAAGCCTGCTGCCAGGTCAGGACTTTTGGGACAACCTGTCCTGTGTTTGCAAGGTTGAGGACCTTCAGTGTCACTCAGGGTGCATTCATGTCCTTCCTGCTCTGGAAACTTCTGCCTTGATATCCGCCCTCACCTCAGGCCACCCCAGCCCACCCCCAGGCAGCTCGGGCCCAGAGTCTCTGCACTTCCACCGTCCCCACGGCCTGAGGGATGCTGCCAACAAGCTGCTTATACTAGGAGGGGCCTGCCCTCCCCGTGGCCTTGCTGCAGAGCCCTCTGCCAGCGGTGGGGCAGGGGGCCGGGGGGGGGGCGGGGACAATAATGATGATGTTCTGATATTTGCTACAAATCAAATGTCTACATTCCAATTTTTATATATTTTCTTGTTTCTGTGTTATACGATTCAATAATAATTTTATCATAAAGAACACTCTGAATGTTTTTCTCACTTCTGGGTGTTTGGGGTTTACTGGGTCAAGAAAGGGTGGCCTGTCCTCTTGTTTTGGGTTGCAGGGTGGCTATGGCATCTGTCAAGAACCAAGACCCATTATAGCCAGATACTGGACAAGCAAGGGCTCAGGGGCTGGTGTCCCCACGTCACAGCTGACAGCAGCCGGCAGGCTGAGGAGTGTCTGCCCCACAACACGGGAAGCTGGGTGGTGGTGACCAAGGGCCACGGGGGTGAGCTGCGTCCAGGACCGCGTGCCCAGCCTACTGAACTCTGACCCCAGGCAGGGCTGGTTGCAGAGTCCAAGTCCAGAGTCCCCAAGGCCGCCAGCCCTGACAGCGTCCTGCGAGGTCCAGGGTCTGAATACTCCCCAAGGACGCCTGAACACTGCGTACCTCCTCCAGGCCAGCTCGGGCCACTCAGGGTTTGGCTCGTTTGCGCTGAGTGCCCGGGGCCTCCAGCAGCACCAGCTGTGCCGAGGCCAGCGCCGCAGGCCCTGGCCTCCCTGATTGCCAGTGTGGGTATCAGACGGGTGTGGAGGGTCAAGGAGCCTCCAAGGCCTGTGAGCCCCCTGTGAGGCTGCAGAGGGGGCCAGACCAGCCCGACCCGGAGGGGGTTTCGGACAGCCCTACAGGCACGGAGAAGTCCTGCTACCTGGGGAGTACTGAAGGGAGGACCACCAGGTGCCCTGCGGCAGGAAGTCGTGCCCTCATCAGCCCGGAGTCCGGCGAGGCTCGAAGAGGCGGGTGTGCCAGGCTTGGTGGCGAGGGGCTCTCACCGCAGGGACCCTCCCCCTTCTTGGTGCGATCTGTGACCTGTGACCTGGCACAAACCGGGATCCCTGGGCTGTGGCTCTGCTCTCTCCCCCCCGCCCCCCCACCTCCCCTCCCCAGGGTGCCTTGGGGTGACTGGGCCTTGAGGAACATCCAGGAGTGTCCACCCCACAGCCACTTAATGCCACAGTGAGGCCTGGCCTCCTGAATGGCATGCAGCAGCGCCCGGTGGGTCAGCCCTTGGCGAGGCCTAGGGGGAGCCTACCCCACGTCGAGAGCTGGGGGGCAGGTCCCGGGGCATTTCTGACAGTTGGGGACCTGCGCGCTCTCCAAACCACTCCTTTGCCAGTGGGGGAGACTGTCCCTGTTCCTGGTCATCTCTTTTCCTGCCACACCTGCTCTCAGGGGCCCTTGCGACCCCCGTGACGGGCACGGCGGTGGAGGGACGGTCAGCGGACGGCGGCTCCCCGCCGCCCTGGCACACAGGGCCGTCCTCCTGGACCTGGACGCAGGCAAGCCGCGGCAGCAGGACGTGTGCGCGGAGCCGAGCGGGCTGAGCACCCCGAGGTCGCGGGACCGAGCCGGAGGGCGAGGACAGGCTGTAGCGGCATCAGCGCGGGGCTGGCCGGTCGCCCGGGGCGTGGCAGCTGGCGCCGAGGGCCGCCACACGGCAGCTGCACTGGCCTGCGTCTCGTCTCGTCTCGGGAGGCCCCGGCCAGGCTGCCTTGCCCGGCCCTCACCGCCCCGGGGCAGGCGTGCGGATGAGCGTTAGCTCCTTGTGGGGAAAGACTTCACTTAACCCGGACTGTCCCCGTGAAGCTACAGGTCCCCGTGGGGAACCCTGGCCTGGGGCAGGCGGGAGGGGCTGGGCCGCGGGGCTGAGGCCCCTGGAGGATCCCTCATGCTTGCTCGTGGCCGCAGGTCGCCGGGACTGCGGTTTCTTTCTCCCGGGACCGGCTACCCTGGAAGGTCCAGCCTGGGCCCGCACCGGGAAGAGAGGGCGGGAGCCGGGGCGCCGGGGGCGGAGTCCGAAGAAAACACTCGCGTGGCTGCTGCTGCCTTTAAAACGTAAGTAGGTTTGTTTCTTTAATTGTGTGTGTGTGTTTATAGTCTTTATTAGTGGATAAATATCAGAAAATCATCTCTCAGAAAGTGCGGGCAGGGGCAGGCCCGGCTTGCCTAGCCGACTGGGGGCGCGCCCTTCGGGGGGCCCCGGCCTGGTGTGCAGGGTGAGGCTGTCCCGCCAGGGCTCGTACACCAGTGTGTAGCTCTCTGCTCTCTTGACGGTGAACTTGTAGGAGCGGTTGGGCAGCAGGTTGTGGATGTCGAAGGTGCAGGCGGCCACGGGGATGATGCCGCGCTGCGTGCACTCCTGCTGTGTCCGTGGGTCCAGCAGCTTGAAGCGAAGCTCAAACTGCTCTGGTGCCGCTGGCTGGATGGTGACGAACCAGCGCAGGCTGACCCAGTCCTGGTGGGCCACCGACTCCTTTCGATCGAACACGACGGGCATCTTGGTGCTCAGCATGAGCCTGATGTGCGGGATCTTGGTGGCGCCGATGTCAGACACCAGGCGGTGCTTGATGTGCAGACGCCCGGGCACCATCAGGGCCAGGAAGCTGTCCATGACCGCCGACAGGTCGGCCAGCCGCTGCTCCACCAGGCCCCAGCCGGCCACAAAGGGCCGCGGGTCAGGCGACTCCAGCAGAGCGTCGAGCTCGGCGCGGCCGCGGTCCAGCTGCTCCAGCAGGTCCCCGAGCAGCAGGAGCTGGATCTTGGTCTGGGCGGTGCCCACCTTCTTCATGCGCTGGAACTTCCAGGGGTCGATGAGCTGGAACATGGTGCTGGGCAGCACCAGGGGGTTCTGGTCACCCAGGGCCAGGTGCTTGGGCAGGATCTCGATGTAGTAGGAACACTTCCCGAGCAGCTCCATGCGGGCGTGGTGGCGCTTGAGCAGCTGCGGGCTCAGCTCCGCCGTCAGGAACTCGCGCAGCGCCGCGCGGTGCTCCATGTAGGTCCGCCAGGCCGCCGGCGCCAGCAGCTGCTGCTCCTCCGCCTCCTCCGCCTCCTCCTGGTCCAGGAAGGACTGAGGACTGTCCAGCTTCATCTTGTCCAGGCCCAGGCCTGTCACCTGCAAGTTCATTGTCTGGGGGGGAGGGGCGGGGGCTGTGAGCGGAAACAGCCCGCGGCCTCCGCCACCCGCCGGGGCTCACTCGGGTCAGTGTTTGTGTGCGGAGGGGGCGGCTCCGGGCCCGCTGCCCTCCATCCTGGGCCCCGGGGCCCGCCCCGCAGGAGCAGCTTATGGGGGAGCACGTCTCTCTGGGAAGGCGCTGCCGGAGGCAGGTGGCCAGGCTGCAGATCCCGGGAACACCGCCCGCTGGGGGGCAACCACCCCGCTGGGGAGTCATTGTGATGACACAGGGAGGGGCGAGGACAATGGGCTCTGGGCAGCGCCCAGCAGCTCTGGGGCCTGGCTGAGGCCTCAGGGTGCGCCCTGGGGACTGTTGAGAGGATTCAGTGTGATCCTGTCCGGGCAGCAGCAGACTCCCCTTGGGGCCACCACCACCCTGCGGGCCTGCTACCCCTCCCTGTCACTGCAGGCCGGGGCAGGGGGCCAGGGCTCACCCAAACACAAGGCCAGCTGGTGCCTGGAGCCAGTGGAGGCAGCGGGGTGGCCCCTGGCCTCAGCTCCTGGTTACTGAGCCCCCACTCTGTGCCTCGATGCCCCTCAGGGCGGGAAGATCCTGGTGCCCCATCTCATAATCGGGGTACCAGCTAAAATGCCTTGTAGCTCCTCCTCAGTTCAGGATCTGGGGCCAGCCGTCAACTCCAGGGCCTGACCTTCTTCCCGTGCCACCCTTGCCCGGCTCCCAGCTCTAGGGGGCGGTGGGAGGGAGCTGGCTGGGGCAGGCCCCAGGGGTGCCAGGACCGCCCCATAGGCTGCGCTCCTGGGAGAAGGGCCAGCAGTCTGACGGCTGCCCTGGGCCCCAGCCGCCCCTCAGACGGGAAGACAGCCCCAGGTCCGGGCCAGCCGCAGCCCCCCAAGGCTTCGATTAATCACAAAGAAAGTTGGCAGGAGCCCGGGGGGGTCAGCGGTTTGGCGCCTGCCTCTGGCCCAGGGCCTGATCCTGGAGCCCCGGGGTCGAGTCCCGCATGGGGCTCCCTGCATGGGGCCTGCTTCTCCCTTCGCTCTGCCTCTCTCTCTGTGTGTCTCTCATGAATGAATGAATAAAATCTTAAAAAAAAAAAAAAAAAGAGTTGGCAGGTTGAGTGACTTGCTGAGCGCACCCCGCCGAGTGGCAGGGAGATGCGGACCCCAGTCTGGGCCCTCCCCAGGGGCCTGCCCTTCACCTTCCCCGGGGGAAGCCAGAGCAGGCCCTGGGCACCAGAGAGGGGGTCTGCGAGGACGGCGCCGGGCCGGGGGTGCCCGCTGCTGGGCCGCCCTGGGTCCCACTGTGCCCCCCCAGGTCACCCCGCCGCCCCGCCCGCGCCCACTTGCCCTGCATCCGGGAGCGAGAGCCGCCCGGGACCTGCTCCGCGCCCGCGCCGCGTCCTGCGCGTTGCCATGGCGACCGCGGCCTCTGTGACGCTCCGCCCGCGGGGCCGGGGCGGGGGCGGGGCGGGGCGGGCGCCGCCGGGGTATGGGGGGGGGCGGCCCCGACTGGGCGACCGGCCGAGGTGTTCCGCAAGCCAAGCCCCAAGTAGGCTCCTGCGGAGAGGAGTAAACTGAGGCTGGTCGCCCGTCCGCCTGGCCCTGTCCTGGCGCCGGGTGAGAGGGGAGAGCTGGGGCGGCGCTGGCGGTGGGTGACAACTGCCTGGGCGGGTGCTCCCCATCCGGCTGGACACATGGGGCCGCCAGGGGTCCAGGGAGCCCCTTCCCTGAGCTGTGTCAGCGGCCTGGGGCCTCCCCACAGAGGTGCCTCTCGGACACCCAGGCGCTATTGGCCTCCTAGGGGAGAATGGGGGTGGGCGTGTCCCCCGGGTACCCTGGCGGCCCCCCAGGATAGGGCACCTGTCTCTGAGCTCCCTGCCAGCCTGTTCTGCATGCAGGGCCTCCCCCCAGCTGCACTGTCCCCTCGGGGTGACGCCCGGCGAGCGGTGGCGGGGCAGTCCAGGCCTGGCACGGAGGCCGCGGAGGTCAGCCCTGGGGGGGACGCAGATGCCATTTCCGCCCCGCTCAGTAGATGCTCGCCCTTGGTGTTTGGAAAGGGGGTGCTGTGTGAGGGCTGGGGGGAGGCGGCACTGGAAAGCGGGGAGCACGAGGAGGAAGCCGCCCCAGGCTGCAGCCCACCCCAGAGAGCCGGAGGCCCCTGCCCTCCTGGGCCAGGTCTTGGGCCTCTGCCCTCTCCTTGGCCCCACCCCCTTTTTTTTACTTAACTATAAAAACTTAAATTCTTGGTTTTGAGAGAATCATAGATTCTCAGGCAGTTCTAAGAGAATGATGCTGGCCCAGTTCCCGGAGCGCAAACATCTTTGACGACACCTGGTCGTGCATGGGAGGAGACGCAGGACTGGCCCATCCCGCAGCCCCCCCCCCACCTTTGGGGCCCTGGCAGAGGGGGCAGTACCCGACTCCCCTTAGGCTGGGGAGCCGTGAGGGTGGGGGCCTGGGGGTGGTGGGACCCCAGGGGGACAGACCCCACAGCATGTCTTCCAGAGAGTGACCCCCCTCCTCCTCCCAGCAGAGCTGCTCGGAGCCCTCACCTGGGCCCTGCACGCACCTTCCCCGACGTCCTGGGCTAGTGGGTGCCACAGCAGCACTGTCCTCTGGGGCGCCGGGGGCTCCGTCAGTGAAGCCGAGCCCCGCCGCCACCTTCAGCTCAGGTCATGGTCCTGGGGTCCAGCCCCCTGCTCAGTGGGGAGTCCGCTTCTCCCTCTGCCCCCCTCCCCACTTGTGCTCTCTCTCCCTCAAATAAAATCTTAAAAGAAGCTTTTGCTCTGACCCCTTCCTGAGTCGGTGGGGGGGTCCTCCCGTCGCCCCCACGGAGCACCATTCCTGTGGTTAGGGCCAGCGAGGAGGGGAGGCTCGCAGGCCAGCGGCAGAGTCAAGGCTGTGCCCGGTGGCTGCCCCGGAGCCCGGGCATTGGAGGGCAGCAGCTAGGCCAGCGGGTGCCAGGGAACTCCGAGAGCTGCCGACGACAAGGTGGACATAGTGGCTCCTGCTGCCAGGCCCCCTCCCTGGCCCCGGGTGTGTGTGTGTGTGTGTGTGTGTGTGTGTGTGTGAGCGCAGGAGGTGGCCTGGAGGGGAGGGGCTGCCGAAGAGAGTTGGTCTGGGGGTTTGTGGGTGGAGCGACGGGGGAGGGCCCGGCAGAGAGGTTGTGGAGTGGGGTGCTCCCTGTGAGCCCACTGCCCTCTCTCCGTCTGGGGGACGGGGCCTTCTTCAGCCCCCCTCCCCGGTCCTCGTCACCTGGAGGTGGGCCAGGCATTCTTGGCGAGCCAGGTCCCCACTGCCCAGCACACTGTCCTGCTCAGAAGTGTCCCCACTGGAGCCCCATGGAGGCCAGGCCAGAGGACCGAGGGGGGCCCCTCCCTGCCTGCTCTGACCCCTGGACGGAATGTGCTGAGTCCCAGCAGCTGGGACTCTGGGGCTTGGAGCCACTGGGAGTGTCCAGGAGGCATCCGTCCAGTGCTCAGTGCTTGACCCCAAGCGTGGGCGTGGGCAGCACACGGAGGGCTGTCCCAGGACCTGGCGAGGCCTCCCTGCGTCCCAGGGGGTCAGAGGCTCCGAGCCTGGGTTCCCAGGGGCGGGGCGGGCAGAGTCACCGAGAGGCGGTGGTGCCCAAGCTTCAGGTGTTCCAGGCCCTTCCCTCCGGCTGCCGGCCCACAGGATGAGGGTCGAGCCCGCCCTCCCCAGGCTGCCTGAACCCCAGAGAGCTGCCTTGGGGCTCCTCTGCAGGGTGCCGGGGAGGGCCAGACTGGAGGTGCCGGGGTGGCCAGACGTGGGGCCTCACAGGCGGCTGGGGCGGTCGCGGGTCGCGTGCCCCGGGGAGCCCCAGGCTGTGCCCTGCTGCAGCTCCAACAGCCGTGGCGTGGGGCCGGGGGTCCAGCCGTGATGCGGGGCGGGAGTGGAAGGCGTCAGAGGCTCCCGCTGCCGGGGTGTGGCCATCGGGGCCCCAAGGGGCTGAGCTGCCTGGGGCTGGAGCCCCTCGCAAGGACCCTGCCCCAGGGCCCCCGGGCCGCCCTCCCATCCCGCCCAGAACCGGAGTCTGACCTGGCACCGACCCCCCCGGGAGCACAGCGGGAGGGTGGCGGCGCCCCGGCCCAGGCTTCCCCGCCACCCTCCGTGCCGCGGCACCCCGCTCCTCCCCAGCTGGCTGTCGGGGTGTCCGGGCCGCGGGGTCGGGTGCACGGCCCAGCACCGGGCGGCCCCCGGGGAGCGCTCCTGCTGCTCCCGAGCCCCCCGGGGACGCCGATGCCCCCTGCACAACGTGCAGCCCAGCCGGGGCGCGGGGCGCGGGGCGCGGGGCGCGGGGCGCGGGGCGCGGGGCGCGGGGCGCTGACCGCACTTGCCAGGGCCCGGGCTCCCCCGCCGGCTCCGGGCGGGCAGGGAAGGTCTGCACAGGCCTCACGCCGAGGCGCGGCCCACGCCCACAGAACACGCCGCCGGCGCCACGCGCGCAGCCGCCCGTCCTCGTCGGGGAGCGCGGTCTCTGAGGGCAAGGCTCGGGTCAGGGCGGGCGCCCGCGTGCGCTTGCGCGGCCCCGCCCCTTTCACCCATAGCCCCGCCCTCCCGCGGACCCTTGCGCCCATAGCCCCGCCCCTCCCGCGGCCCCTTGCGCCTATAGCCCCGCCCCCTCCCGCGGCCCTTTCGCCCATAGCCCCGCCCCATTCACCCATAGCCCCGCCCCTCCCGCGGCCCCGCCCCTCCCGCGGCCCCGCCCCCCGTGGTTCCCTTGCGCCCATAGCCCCGCCCCTCCCGCGGCACCCTTGGGCCCGTAGCCCCGCCCCGTCCCGCGGTCCCGCCCCTTTCACCCATAGCCCCTCCCCTCCGCGGCCCGCCCCTTTCCCCATAGCCCCGCCCTCCCGCGGACCCTTGCGCCCATAGCCCCGCCCCTCCCGCGGCCCTTTCGCCCATAGCCCCGCCCCATCCACCCATAGCCCCGCCCCTCCCGCGGCCCCGCCCCTCCCGCGGTTCCCTTGCGCCCATAGCCCCGCCCCTCCCGCGGCCCTTTCGCCCATAGCCTCGCCCCATTCACCCATAGCCCCCCTCCGCCCCCCCTCCCGCGGTTCCCTTGCGCCCATAGCCCCGCCCCTCCGCGGCTCCGCCCCTCCGCGGCCCCGCCCGCACCTGCTCCGGCCCCAAAGACGTCCCGGCCGTCGGGGCGCGCGGCTGGGCTGTCGCGTGCGGGCGCTGCAGGGCCGCCCTGGGTGCATCTGGCCCGAAGCCCGGCCGCGGCGACGCCGGGGGCATGGAGCCCTTCCTCAGGAAGCGGCTGACCTTCCTGTCCTTCTTCTGGGACAAGATCTGGCCGGTGGCGGCGCCCGACGACGGCCTCCCCGGGCTCCCCGAGCCCACGGCGGGGGCTGAGCCCGAGCCCCCCGGCGCCGAGCCCCGCGGCCGCCCGCGCGCGCAGCTGTTCCGGGCGCTGTCGGGCTTCAGCGCGCGGGGCGCGGGGGAGCTGAGCGTCCTCCGCGGGGACCGGCTGCGCGCCCTCAGGGAGGACGGCGACTGCATCTCGGCGCGCAGGCTCTCGGGCCCGCCCAGCACCGGGCTGGCACCGCTCAGCCACCTGGCCAGGGCCGCCGCGGAGACGGAGACGGAGCCGGAGCCGGAGCCGCTCCCGGACCGCCCGTGAGTAGCACCGCGCCCTGGGGGCAGGGGAGGCACAGGCTTGAGGCCAGCATCGCTCCTTCCTTCCTCCCTCCACCCGACCCTCCCCCGTGTGCCGGGACCCTGCGGCCTTGCCACCTGGCGGAGCAAGCACGCGGTTGTCCTGGTTCCTGGACACCGGGAGGGAACGCGCGATGGCCCCAGCAGGAGCGGTCGGGCCGGCAGGGCCGGGGCCAGACACCGGGGCGGGCGGTCACCCTGGGTCGCGGGCCAGCCAGGCCCTCCTGCTGTCACATGGGGATTCAGCGCTGGCCCTGAGCACACCCTGGGGGCCTCTCATGCCGCCTTGGCCAAGGGTCGCTGCCGGCAGGGCAGGGGCTAGGGTCCTGGGCACAGCTGCGGGTGAGATGCCGGTGACACGCCGGCTCTGTGGTCCTGGAGCTCCCAATGAGGACCTAGGTGAGCAGGAGCCCATCCGCAGGCCGTGAGGGCGTGGGGGTGACCTGCTGAGCTGAGAGGTGCGCTCACCTGCCCCCTCCCTGGACTGTAGGTGCCAGGACTCTCCCTGCTGTGCTGGGCCAGGTATGGAGTGGACAGGGCCCTCCCAGAGGGGGGCACGCAGGGGGGCGAGCCCCCACCCCCAGCACGCCCAGGAGCCCTAGGGCCGGCGAAGTCTGCAGGCGGGGGCGTGCTGGCGGACACCCGGCTGTTGGCTCGCTAGTCTGCGATCGTGGAGGGAATCGTGCAGGGCGGGGGCTCTCCCACGGGCTTGGGGAGGACGTGACCTTCAGCCCAGGCTTAGGGTCTGCAGCTCGGGGAGCTCCTGGCACAACCGTGTGCCAGCTCCAGCTGGGTGGACGTCGTGCCCCTCCCTGCCTCTCCCCTGGGTGCAGAGGGTCTGCCTGGATGTCGTGGCCACGGCGAGACCTGCTGTCTAGACAGATGAGGCCCCGCTGGGGGGCACCAGGGAGCGGGCCGGCGATGCCCGGGTGAGAAAAGACCAGAAGCTGGTGAACAGCCAGCAGGGCCAGGCCCGGCTGCCCGGACTTCCCCCCACCATTGGCCTCTTATCCGTGTCCACCTGGGCTGCCCTGGGCCCCTCACGTCCTCTGCAGACCAGCGTTGGGGTTCAGCCTCGCTCAGGTCACATCCAGTTTCCCGGGGGCCCTGGGCCTCCCCACCATGTCCTGAGGGATTTGCACGTGCCACGGCGAGGCCTGGGTCACAGGGAGGCGCCTTCTGAGGGGGCTCCGGGTGTCCCTACACCGCACCCACCTGCTGGGAGCCTCCGATGGGGAGGGGCGCACAGACCCTCTGCTTGCGGAGCTGCTCTTAGCGGAGGCCGCGGGGCTGGGGGGGGGGCACCGGGGCTGGGAGGCGGGTGCCGGGGGGAAGCCGTAATGACTCTTTGCCTGGGCCCAGGATGAAAGGGCTGCCCACACTCGTGGTGTCATTCGCTGCAGACACCTGGTCGTCCGTCCTCAGGGCCAGGCAGGCTGGGCGGGGGGAGGACCCTCAACCAGTCTCCTGTCAGCCACTGTCCCACCCCAGAGACTCCCAGAGGACTTGGCTCCAGGGGCGAGCTGGGGATGGGGACACCCGTGCCTCTGCTCCCTGGCCCTGCTGTCCCGGGCAGTCCCTGCAGCCCTTCCTAGGCGGGAAGCCGTCCTGGCCGGTGGGCCCCACGGGGCTGGGCGTGCCCATGACTGACCACCTGGTCCCTTCACAGGGGACACCCTGCTTGTGTCAACTTACTAGGCATCAGGCTCTGGGTCCTGCACCCCCAAGGAGGGGTCAGAGCCACCCCCTGGCCCCTAGAACCCTGTGTCTCCCTTTAGGGTGGAAGAAGGCCATACTCACGGCTGTCCCTGAGGACGGGGTCCCCAGAATCCCTGGGAAGCAGGAGGTCCCAGGATGGGAAGCTGGGCAGGCGATGGGGGGGGGGGGGGCAGGAGCATTTCCATTTTCCTTCCCAGAACGAGGACCCAGGGATCCGCACCTGCTGTGACTCAGGTGGACTGCAGCCCAGATGGGGTGTCCGATGGGGAAGCCCCGGGCACCCTCAGCGTGCTCGGCTTCACGGGGGCAGCATGTCCGCGTGGGTGGAGGGCAGGGGCTGGCCTGCATCAGGGGACCCTCAGGGGCGGATCTGGGGTGGCTCCCGCCCGACCTCCAGCTCCGGAGGGAGCTTCTGTGGGCCCCACCTGTCGGCCGCGCGGGGCAGGCAGGCCATGCCCGTCCAGGGGCGTTGGAGCCCCGTGCCGCAGTCGGGCCCCGGCGGACCCCGGCCCCAGTAGGGCTCGGCAGTCGGGGCTCGGCAGGGCAGCCCCCGGCCGGGGCCGCCGTCATTCTGTGAGCCCCGCTAACGGGGAATCTGTCGGGCCGCACTGTCCTCCCGTCCCCTCCCCGGTGACTCCAGAGGCGGGCACTGCGGGGAGGGCGATGCAGACCCTGCCCCGGGACCCCCGGCCCGTCCCCGAGAGCCAGCGGCAGTCGGGCTCCTAGGGGCGTGGGGGCAGGGGCCGCGGGGGCCGGGCCTGGCGCTGACGCCTTCTGCCCCGGCAGCTGGTACTTCAGCGGCATCAGCCGCGCCCGCGCACAGCAGCTGCTCCTGTCTCCCGCCAACGCGCCCGGGGCCTTCCTCGTGCGGCCCAGCGAGAGCAGCCACGGGGACTACTCGCTCTCAGGTACGCGGCGGGCCCCCGGGGTCCCCAGGCCGGGCTGCCCCCCACGGCAGGCCAGGCCCGCTCGCCCCACCCCGCCTGCCTCCATCCACGTGCTGTCGGGGGGGGGGCACCCTGGGCTCGCGGCCCCCTGCGGCCCCCACGCGCAGCTGCCCACGCCCCCTCCTTTTCCGCGAGGCTCCGGGCGTCTGCGGGGCGCAGGGAAGGCTGGGCCGCTACCCGGCCGGGGTGGAGGGAGTGGGGCGGCCCGCACACGGCCTTCACCTGTGCCCACTGCAGTCCGGGCCCAGGCCAAGGTTCGCCACTACCGCATCTCCACGGCCGCCGACGGTCTCTACCTGCAGAAGGGCCGGCTCTTCCCCAGCCTGGAGGAGCTGCTCGCATACTACGCGGCCAACTGGAAGCTGATCCGGAACCCGCTGCTGCAGCCCTGTGTGGCCCAGGTGGGCCGGTGCCCCGCACCTCCTGCCCCGGCGCCCGGCCCACGTCAGGGCAGCGAGCAAGGCCACAGGCCCAGGCCTGTCCGCGAGCAGGACCGGGAGCCGGAAAGGCCTGGGAGCCCCGGGGGCCCAGCTGCGCCTCCACCTCCGGCCAGGCCCTGCCTGGGCTGGCTCTGCCCCACGTGCGTGGCGTCGCCATCTCTGGGGACTCCTGGGGCTGCGGCGCAGGAGCCCTGGAGGCCCCACTCCCACACCCAGCTGTGCAGGGGGCGCGAGGGCTGGGGCAAGTCTGGGGAGGGGGCGCGGCCGTGGCCCGGGCGGAAGCCGTAGGAGGGACGCCGGGGGCCCTGCGCTGGAGCAGCTGCGCGCCGGCGGCGCCGGACGAGCCATCGTGCCCGGACCAGGCGGCAATCCCGTTCCTCTGGTTTCTAATGACAGGCCTGGCAGGGCGGTAACGAGTGTCCGTGGGTGGGTGTCCACCTCCAGCGGGTGCCACTGCAGGTCAGGGCCCGGCGCTCCGGGAGAAACCGTCCCTTGTTTCCAGGGATCGGCAGGCGGAGGCTCGGGGTGCCCCCCGCCCCCTCAGAAGCTCCCCCAGCAGGACGAATGGGAGCGGCCTCGCTCAGAGTTTGCCCTGCGGAGGAAGCTGGGAGAAGGCCACTTCGGGGAGGTGTGGGAAGGCCTGTGGCTTGGCTCCACGCCGGTGGCCGTCAAGGTCATTAAATCAGGTGGGTGAGGCCCTCTGCCCCGGCGAGCCCCGGGGCGGCCACAGGCTGCTGTGGGCGGGTGCGGCAGCGGTGCCCCTTCCGCAGCCTACATGAAGCTGGCCGACCTCGCCAAGGAGATCCAGACACTCAAGAGCCTGAGGCACGAGCGTCTCATCCGGCTGCACGCCGTGTGCTCGGCCGGCGAGCCCGTGTACATCGTCACCGAGCTCATGCGCAAGGGCAACCTGCAGGCCTTCCTGGGCGGTGAGTGGCTGCCCCGGCCCACCCGCCAGCAGCCTCGGGGGACCCGGGCGTCCACGCGCAGCCCTGACCGCCAGGCCCCTTCCCGGCACGGCCTTGGGCGGTGCACCAGGTGCGGCCGTCCGAGGCCCAGAGGGGTGGCGGGCTCCGGCCAGTGGTGGGTTCGGGCCCCGGGCCAGTCCTGTGCCTGGTGGGGGCGCCGTCAGAGCACGGCGGGCCCAGGCTGAGCTGAGCGCAGCCCCGTGCGGCTCCCTGGTGTCTGGCTGCTCCTGGGGGTGCAGGCCAGGTCGCCAGGGAGCAGCCCCCCGGGGGTCACCGTGCAGCACGGTGCCTGCTGTCCCCCCTTAGGGGCGGGGACCCGAGGCACAGAGAGAGGCATGGTGTGCACACCCGGCCCGACGGCGGCCTTGCTTGCAGGCCCTGAGGGACGGGCCCTGGGCCTGCCCGTCCTGCTGAGCTTTGCGTGCCAGGTGGCTGAGGGCATGAGCTACCTGGAGGAGCGGCGCATCGTGCACCGGGACCTGGCGGCCAGGAACGTGCTTGTGGGCAATGACCTGGCCTGCAAGGTGGCCGACTTCGGCTTGGCCCGGCTGCTCAAGGTCAGTCCAGGTGGGGACCACCGACCCCGCCGTGGCTGGGGGGAGGGTGTTGCTCCGCCGCCCGCCCACCGCTCGTGTCCCCTCACCCAGGAGGACATCTACTCCCCAAGCAGTGGCTGCAAGATCCCTGTCAAGTGGACGGCGCCCGAGGCAGCCAACTATCGCGTCTACTCCCCGAAGTCGGACGTCTGGTCCTTCGGGGTCCTGCTCTACGAGGTCTTCACCCACGGCCAGTGTCCCTACGAAGGTGGGCTGCGAGGGGTCTGAGGGAGGAGGCGCCCCTGCCCTGGCGGCCACTGGCGCGGAAGGGCGCCAAGCCTCCGGGGCGGGATCTGGAGAGCCGGGCGGCGTCCTCGGTGACCCCGGGGGAGGAGAGGCCGCCCGCCAGCCCCTCTCACCGCCTCCGCAGGGCTGAGCAACCACGAGGCCCTGCAGCAGGTGACTCGAGGCTACCGGCTGCCGCGGCCCGCCGCCTGCCCGGCCGAGGTCTACACGCTCATGCTGGAGTGCTGGAAGGGCAGCCCCGCGCAGCGGCCGGCCTTCGCCACGCTGCAGGACAGGCTGAGCGCGGCCCACGGGCGCCTCCGCCCTGCTCACACGTGACCCGCGGCGCTGGGCACGGGGCTGGGGCCGGGCCTCCCTGCGTGGCCTGTGCCATGGACAGTATTGGCTGAAGGCATCCGGGGTGCCGGCGGCCTGAAACCGCCCCTGGCCGTGGGCCTCGCACCCTGACACGCCCTGGCGTGCACGCGTGTGCACGAGGAAGGCAGACGCCCACTCACACAGGAGGGGCCGAGGTCCTCGGCCGGCGTGACCTGGTGCCCCTGGGGAGGGAAGGTCCCCGCGTGGGCGTCCAGGGGCTGCCGGGCTGGTTCTGGTCCACAGAGGAGCCCTGCTCCTGGACCCTTCGCGCCCTCTTCCCGACTTTCTGTAGAGTCCCCCTGTGGCCCATGCTGGGCTCCCAGGCAGACCCCGGGCACAGGGCACACTGGCCCCCCTGGGCACAGACCGGTGCTCAAGGCAGCACTCTGTAAACATAGGTGGACTCAGACACACACACAGACACGCATTCCACGTGGCCCGCGGCCCCCAAAACCACAGCGGGAGTGGGAGCTGGTTGGTCACAGCAGGACCCGGGGATCAGGGGACCCGGTTCCCAGGGGGCTGGCCCCCCGGCAGGCCCGAGACTCCCTGAGGCTGCGACCCAAGTGGGGGACGTCAGGCCGGGTGGCTGCCCCGTGTGGGAGACCCTTGGATGGGGCAAAGGTCAGGCAGGCAGGGTGTCCGCCTCGGTGCTGGGGGCGATGGGAGCCGGCCTGGCTGTGCAGGGTCGGGCGGGGGCGCGGCTGGATGCCGTGGGGTTCAGACAGCTGGCAACAACCGGCTCCTGGGAAGGCAGCAGTGGGCGTCCGGGGCGGGCCTGCCCCACCTGGGCTGATCGCCCGCCGGTGTGGACGTCCGGGTGACACACGCGGTGCTGCTTCTACTCCCCCACCCACTCCAGTCACCATGAGATGGTGTCCAGGTCCTCGCCCCCCACAACCCCCGTGATGGCAGCTGCGCCCGCAGAGGGCCCGGGGGACGGAAGGGGAGAGGCAGGGAAAGCCGCCCCTGCTTCTTGGGCCTCCGTGCAGTTCGGGCCAGCTCTGTACCCTCCCCCCATCACAGGCCCTGCCCGAGGGCGGGCACAGGGTCACCGAGACCCCAGAGCTGGCACAGATGCCTCGCAGGGCTGGGGAGGGTGCCGAGGTCACCACTGGCCAGGGCAGCACGGAGGGAGGGTGCAGGCACTGGCCGGCCAGGCTGGGGTCAGCAACCCCCACCTCGGGAGGGTTTGGCCTGCAGCCCCGGGACCCCTGGGTCCTGCCCTGGAGGGTGGGGGGCCCCCGGGTGAGACAAAGGAGTTGATGCAGGTGGAGCCGGCCGGGCAGTGGCCTCTGAGGGAAGGAACGTGCTGGGCTCGGAGCTGTGCGTGGGGGTCGCGGCGCACTCCTGGCGTGTCACCAGCCACAAGCCTAATGGGTTTGGTGCTCCGGGGCCTCCTGCTGGCCTGGGCGGGGGGGGGGTGGGCCCTCCGTCCTCAGTACCCTCCTGCTTCCCGGGTCGCCCACGGAGATCCCGGGAGGTGTGCGCTGAGCAACTCACCGAGGTGCCGGGACGGGTCCCCAGGGCACAGGGGACCGGAGCAGAGTGCCCAGGTTGGGGGTGGACGTGCAGAGGGGGCGCCTTGCCCCCCCCCCACGCCGCCTGCTGCTGAACTTCCCGAGCAATACACGTTCCTCTTGATGCGCAACTGGACTGAGCCGTGGTGACTCCGCTCCCAGGACCGCGTCGGGCGGGCATCACCTTCCGCGCCTCCCCGGCCCTGGGCCTCAGCCATCTTCTGCGCCGGACCCCGGCCGCCCCAGCACCCTCGGTGGGTGGTGGGTGGTGATGGCCGGGAGCCCCCAGGGCAGTGAGCGGACGGCAGCGCCCACCTGGGCCTCAGGCAGCAGAGAGCTCGCCGTCCCTCCGGCCCCGCTGGTCCCGAGCCCCCGCAGGTTGGGCCAGGGTGACCTCCCACAGGCCCTGTCCTTCCCCCCACCCCCGCCTCACTCCCACCTGAGCCCCCACGGCTAGCCAGGACCCCAGGGAGGGCCCAAGCGGCTCAGGCCCGGCTGCGTGGCCACGTGGTGGACACGCTTCCCGGAGCAGGTGGGCATGACGGTTGCCCAGGCGGACCGGCCTCAGTGGGGGAGGGGTGGAGGCGGGAGCTGCTGGGCCGGCAGGGGGCAACCCTGGGTGCCGGGGAGCCCAGGGAGAGGCCACCTGGTGGCTGCAGGTGTGGCCGCCTCTGCACAGGGGAGCAGGCCGGCTCCCGGGCTGGGAGGGGACGGCCGCGGCCCAGGCACGGCGGCGAGGCCAGGAGGCCAGTCCTGCTGCACCGGCCATGGGATCCCGGGCCAGGCCCACCCGGGGCCCCAGTACGTGGGCCTCTAGGACTTCCAGGCCCCGCACGGACGAGGAGCTGAGTTTCCGGGCGGGGGACCTGCTCCGCGTGGAAGGAGGAGGACTGTGGGGGGCCGTGCTGCTGGATGCGGCCGGTGGGGCCCTGGGCCAGGGCTACGTGCCCCACAGCTACCTGGCCGAGAAGGAGACGGTAGAGTCTGAGCTGTGGTGTCCCCGTGGCCCTGCTGGGTCACCCCAAGGGGCCCCCCTCCCGCAGCCCTCAGGACAGTGTGCGTTGCCCCGTGGCTGGGTCCTGGGGAGGGTCGAGGTGCGGGGCTGCTCCTGGGGGACACGCGACTCCACCTCCTGTGTCCCCAGTTGGGCTGGACGCCCCTGTCTGGTCCCGGGAGGGCTGAGTACATTTGGCCATGTGACATCTGGGGACAGGGGGCTGCAGGGGCACGCGGCCCCTCCTCTGGGCTCCCCCACAGTCACTTCATGGTGGCAGGACCCAGAGAGGACACAGGGGGTCCACCATGGGCTCCCGGATGGCCAGCTGAGGGCTGGGGTCTGTGTAGGGGTCCGGGGCAGGGACTAGGCCTTTTGGGGAGTGAAGCTTCACTCACCTTCCAAACAGCCAAAACCAGACGTGTGACCTACTGGGAGCAGGACGGCCGATGCGACAGGCCCGTCTGGGTGCAGGGGCTCTCGGACCTGGTGGTTGCCCCACGGCCCGTGGGAGCACAGGGAGCGCAGGCCACCCCGGGCAGCCTGGCAGGGCCGTGTGCACGGCGCCCCACACTGCTCCCCTGAGCTTGGGGCCGAGAGCTGGCCTGAGGGGCTCTGTGCCTGCCTCCTGTGACCCGGGAGCTGCTGGGGCCTGGGTGGGGGGTCCTCCTCCTGCAGGGAGACCGGCAGTGCCATCAGACACAGCACGCTCTCACAAGGCAGGGTCCCATGACAGCGACAGGGCAGAGCTGGCCACGGCTGGTGCAAAGGCCCTGAGGCCCCCACAACCTAGTGCATTTGAAAAGCAGGAAGTGAGGAGGGTGGTCGGAGGGGCGAGCAAATGAGATTCAGGGTGTGCTAACGATCAGGGCGGGTGTGGGGCCCGGGACCCTGGGTGGGGGCTCCTGTTCATGACGCCTGAAGGAACAGGGACCAAGGGCAGAGCTGGGCAGCCACACCCCGTGGTCCAGGGCTGGTCCTGCCCCGTGCCGGCGCGTGTGGGCACCCGTAGGCCCGTGTGCGTGTGAGCACCCGCTGAGCCTGGCCACGCGGCTGCCGAAGCCCAGACCCCGGGGTCCCACTCATGTCCATGGGATGGGAGTGGCTCTGACCCCACAGGTGGCACACCCTGGGCCCTGGGCAGGGGGCAGCGGTGCCTACAGCCCTTCTGGGTCACTGTGGCCTTTCCTGGGGTCCAGCCTGGCCCCACGGCACATCCAGGGTCTCCTAAGGGCAGAGAAGTGGCCGTTTGGCAGGGACAGGATCATGGGGGCTGTGGGTCAGGGAGTCGGGGCGCAGCTGGGAGGACATGGGGTCAGCGGCCCCAGACCGCCCCGCCCCAGGTGGCTCGGCCGCATCTCGTGCTCCGAAGCGCCGCACCGGCTGCAGGCCGAGGACACCCTGGGCACCTCCCTGGCCGGGGCGAGTGAAAAGCCGGGCGCCAACTACGTCCTCTCGGGTACGGCCTCTGTGACCCTTGGCGCCAGCCCATGGCCCCCCACGGGACTCAGGGTCCCCCCCACCCGGCCCGCCCCCTCGGTCTGTGTGTCCGCCCAGACTCCCCCAGGGCGGCTACTTCTTGGGGCCCCGGACGCAAGCGCCTCCGTCCCTGCAGTGCGGGACAGGCGGGCCGTGCGGCCACGTCCTCCCGCAGGCTGCCCGAGCTCCTGGAGCATCACCAGACCAGGAGTCTGTCCCACGGCCCGCGGCTGACCGTGCCCTGCCGGAAGGTAGGCCGCCCGCTGCCCCCCCACCCCCGTGCACGGCCCTCGGCGTCACCCAGGCGGGGGTCGGTGTGTCCTGGAGGCCGTGGTCCCCCAGAGCTGGGTGCGGGGGCAGGCGGCGGGGGTGGGATGTGCCTTCCCCCGGGCCAGGGGGGGCCGGCTGTGCTCCCGCCCCGACCCGCGTCCCCCATCCTGCGTCCCTCCAAGCCGGGCAGCCTGGGGACAGGGCGGCTAGCTGAGTCTTGTGTGAGTGGCCGCGGCCGAGGTCACTGGCCTGCAGGGGCCCTGAGGGTGTCTGCGGCGCCCGGGAAGCCTGGCCACAGGCCGGACCCTGTGTTGCCCTACATTTGAGGGCAGAGCGGGGCCCCCGTCCTGGGGTCAGAGGGGGGCATCCCTGAGGGTGGACTGGGGGGAGCACCCCTGGCCTGTGTCCCTGCTGTCCCTCCAGCTCGAGCCCAAGCCCCTGCCCCACGTGAAGGCTGGGAGAGGCCGCGGGGGGAGTTCACGCTCTGCAGGAAGCTGGGGTCCGGCTACCCCAGGGAGGTCTTCGAGGGGCTCTGGAAAGACCAGGTCCGCGTGGCTATCAAGGTGATTGCTCGAGGCGAGTGGGGCCTCGCGGAGGGGGCGGGCGGCCCAGCCAGCCCGGGTGTCACGGCCTGCATGCAGCACCCACGGCAGGGTCCTCTGGCGTCATTTCGATGTATGTGCTATCGCCTGAATGCACTTATTTAAAAAGCAATTTTAAATTCTTAATGTAAATGGAAAGCCATTAAAGTAAGTAGAGCCCTAGGAACTTGCAGAGTCCCCTAAAATTTCCTTTCAACTCACGAGGTCCGGATCCCCTTCAGGAGCCAGGGGCTCGCGGGAACACACGTGGGAGATGTTCTGCTTTGCATGTGGCCTGGGCGGGTGTGGGCCACGTGGAGCAGCCGTGACGCCTGGGGCGGGGAGTGGGGGGATGGCAGGGCCGGGGCCGCAGCCACCCAGGCCTCCTGCCCCCACAGGTGACCTCCTACACCAGCACACGTTCCAGGCGGAGGTCCAGGCCACGAAGAAGCTCCGACACAAGCACGTCCTGGCCCCGTACGCCGTGGCATCCGTGGGGGACCCCGTGTACGTCGTCACGGAGCTCATGCCCAAGGGGAGCCTTCTGGAGCTGCTGTGGGGTGAGCGGGCTGGCAGGCGGCACCCGGGCTTCCTCTCTGGGGTCCTAGTGACCCGTGCTCGCTGGAGGGCGTGGGAGACGTGCAGAGAAACCCCTCGTGGCCCCGTGCCAGGCACAGGCCTCCAGCACGCCCTTCTGGCTTCCAGACACGCAGCCTGGGTCCTCACTGCTGTTCTGGAAGGCGCTGGCCCTTCCTCTGGGGTGTGTGCACAGGCACTCGCCCACGTGCACACGAGTCACAGCCCTCGCCCTCTGGGACCTCATTTAGCACCCACAGCACACACGGCCGCTGCCCGTTAGAGACGCGAGACGACGCGGGTGCGCTGCAGGACGGGCGGCGTCCACACGCGCATGTGCCTGCCCAGACTGTAGCACCGGGGACGCTGGGTGTCAGGCACGCAGGGTTCCCACGGGCCCACGACCACGTGCACCAGCAGAGCCGCCTTGCGCGTTCGCCGGCACTGAGCCTCCGCGAGGTCCTCAGCCGTCAGCGCTGCTGTGACGGTCCTTACGCCGCTCAGTTCCTATCACTTTAGTGTCCATTCCCGGAAAGGAAACGGGGGACGGCGACGGGGTGTGTATGGTCCGCGCCTGTGCCCGGACCCGGCTTCCAGGAGGGCTGCGACGGGTCCACTGGTCCCATTTTTGCATCAGGCCGCTGCCTCTGCAGCCGGGTCCCCGAGCCCCTGACCGCGGCTCCTGCCCCTGCAGACGCCCACGAGGAAGCCCTGCCCTCTCGGAGCTGGTGGGCCTCGCGTCACAGGTGGCCGAGGGCACGTGCTGCTGCAGTCGCAGCACTACACCCACCGGGACCTGGCCGCCGGAGCACCCTCGTGGGGCCACACATCTGCAAGCCGGGGACTTCGGGCGCCAGGCTCACCAAGGTAGGGCGGGCCGCGGCGGGCGTCCTGTGCCTGCAGCCGGGGTGTCGCCCACCCTCGGGAAGGCCGCGGGCGCAGGAAGCTGCGAGGGGAAAGGCAGGCTGCCTGGGCCCGGGGGGGGGGGGGCGGGGGGGCGCGGGCAGCCCGGCCTCCCAGGCCCATCCGCAGACCCGCTCCACGCGGTTTAGACCTGAGCCCCGCGCACACTCAGCAGCTCTACAAACAGCCGCGACACCGGGCGCCTGACAGGGACTCCGGCCCACGCTGCTCGGAGCCAAGTTCCCGAGCCCTTGAAAGCCACGAACGCGCGCGCCCGCTCCGAGCGGTCACCACGGCCTCCCGCGCTGGCCGCGCTCCCGGCTCCGATGTCCCCGCTGACGGCCGCGGCTCCGTGCTCGGCGCGAGCGGGTGCTGCTGGGAAGGCCGTCTCCTCGCCCACCCGGGGGCCGGCAGCAGGCAGGACAGGCGGTCGCACGGCCTTCCCGGTGCCCCGCCCGCCGGGGGCAGCCCTGTGAGCCCGCGGTGTGAACACCTCGCCCGCCTCCCGGCGCCCCCAGGGCCCGTGTCCAAGCGCGTCCCTCTGGGGCACCTGCGCCCGGTCCGCCGTCAGCGCTGCGCAGGCCCGGCACGTGCCGGTTGCAGGAGGACGTCTGCCTCCCCTAGGACCGCAACATCCCTCACAGGAGGACCGCCCCCGACGCCCTCTCCCCAGGGCTTTACTCCATCAGATCTGACATGCGGTCCTTCGGGATTCTCCTCCACGAGATTTTGAGCAGGGCGCAGGTGCCCTATCCGGGTACTGGGCCCCCAACAGGGTCCCTGGCGGGGGTGGGGGGTGGGGCAGGAGGGTGCCATCACCTGGACCCAGCGCGTGCACCAGCCAGCCCTCCGGGGGTGTTAGGACTGTGTGCAGGGGTGCAGCGGGCGGGAGCTTGGCCCAGGGTTTCCCACCAAGGCGGCAGATGGCAGTGTGGCTTCCTAGGGGGGAGGGGAGGGTAGGTGGGCGCCAGCTGCCGACCCCCGCAGCCCCTCTCGCCGTCCCCCCACAGGCATGTCCAACCACGAGGCCTTCCTGAGGGTGGACTCGGGCTACCGCGTGCCCTGCCCCCCCCCGAGTGCCCACCCACCGCACACAAGCGGATGCTCTCGTGCTGGCACAGGGACCCCGAGGAGAGGCCCTGCTTCAAAGCCCTGCGGGAGAGGCTCTCCAGTGTCACCAGGTACGAGGACCCGCTCTGAACGACCCCCTCCTGCCGCGGCCGTGGAGGCAGCTGGCCCAGGATCCGGGGAGAGGGGCCGGGTGCCACCCTGGGCCTCAAACCAGGAGTACGGGCAGAGGAAGGTGCTAACACGCCCCTTGGGCCACGGGCCCGCCCTGTCCGGGTGCAGCGGAGGCGTGGCCCCTGCTGTCCTCCTGAGACTCCTGGACGGTGCCGCAGCCCTCTACAGCCAACGCCAACTCCAGAACCCTCCGGCGCCTGGTTACCCTCCCTTCCTAAAGGGCCCAGGGCTCACCCTGTGCCATGTGGCCCAAGCCTCCTCCTGACTGGGTGGGGGACAGAGACTTCCCAGGACGGACTGTTGGCTCATGGGGCTCTGCTGTCTGCCAGCCGGGGCTGGGCGCCGTCCCTGCCTTCCTGCCACGGCAATCAGCAGCTGGAGGGCCTCGTCTGGACACAGCCCGAGCAGCTCTCAGGCGACCCTCTGGGTCCCCCCTGAGACCCCTACCCCACCCTGGGTCCATCTGATGAGGTGGGGATGGCCTCCCTAGCCAGCCTCCTGCCTGGACAGAGCAGACAGGACGGGGCTGCAGCCCCAGGGAACCGCAAGCTCTGGCCACACCTGGGACTGCTGGTGCGCAGCTATTTATTGCCCACTGCGGGGAAGAGGGGCAGGAGCGCAGCCAGCAGAGCCCCTGACCTCCCTCCCGAGGCTGCCCTCTCCTGACCAGCACAGCCGGGCCAATCTGTGCTGGCCGCTGTGGTGTGTGGGCACCGCTCGTGCACTGGCACGGCCGCCCAGGAGGACACGAGCTCGGGCTCCCCAGGTCCCTGGTTGGAGCTGGTCCACAGCTGGGTCACCTGTGAGGAATGGGGCACCCCCTTACCCCCTTGCCACTCAGCGTCCGTTTTGGCTCCCTGTACCCAGGACGTGTCCCACAACGGCCTAGAAGAGGCACCAGCGTTATAGGAAGGCTCCTGGAGACAGTCTGGCCCTGATCCCTCCCTGCAGTCACGAGTGGGGGGCAGGGGCCCCAGCTCCCTCTAGCCCAGGGCCCTGAGGGGAGGCTCCCTGTCCAACTCCTGAGCCTGCTCTCCCAGGCTCCCACCCCCTCTCAGCTGCCAAGGCCCCACACTTGTGGAAGCAGCTTGTCTGCCTGAGCCTGGGCCGGACCCGGCAGGGGGCTCCCCAGCGAGGGGCCCCGGGAAGGCCCAGGGAGTAAGGCCAGCTCCTCGCCCCGCCAGGAAGTGAGGCTGACAAGGGTCCGCGACTTCAACCCCAGGCCCGGGGGGGCACAGGGCTCCCGGCTCCCGGCTCCCGGCTCCCGCACACCACCAAGGCCACCGGCTGCTTGGAGTTTATTTTCCACTTGGTGCGAGGCACACAGTTCCAGGGGGTCGGGAAGGCTTGCGTGTGGCTTGGACAGTGAAGAGCGGGATTCTCTCAACTTCCTTTTTGGTGTTGTGCTATTTTGATACAAAAGAACCCAACAGCTTGTGCCGGCTGCAGCCTGCCTAGAGGAAGGGGAGGGAGGGAGGGGCGGGGAGGGGAGGGGCGGGGAGGGGAGGGGAGGGGCGGGGAGGGAGGGAGGGAGGGAGGGGGGGAGCCGGGCGCCCCGGGAGCCGGTGCGGGCGCTCAGGACCTCGGCCCGGGGTCGGCTGGGCCAGGCTGGCGGCCGGGCTGCTTCCTCACGGCTTCCAGGGCCGAGTCACCGGTGCCGGCGCCGCCGGAGGCCTGGGAAGGCTGCGGGCTGGGGGGGAGCCTGCGCTCAGAGGCGCCCGCCGCCGCCCGCCCGCCCCCCGCCGCCCCCCGCCGGCCCCGGCCGAGCACTCACCGCCCCGGAGACTCCAGCGCGGGGGCCGTGGACGCGAGCGCGGGCCGCCCGAAGAGGCCTGCCCACCAGGGGCCCGGCTCGGCCGCGGGGTGTCGGCGCCTGCTCTCGCCGGGGCGCTGCGGGGCGGCCCCCCCCGCGCAGTCCGCGCCGCCGCACGCGCTGCTACCGGACGCGGAGCCCAGGCGGCCTGCGGGGGGGGCCGGGTCAGCCTGCGCCGCGCCGCGCCGCGCCGGGCCGCGCCGGGCCGCGCCGGGCCGGGCCGCAGGGCGGGGCGGGGCCGTACTCACGCCGGTAGTAGTCGTGCGTGGCCACGAGCGAGCCGCCGGCCGGGATGGCCGCCATGGGCCCCGGAGCTCCCGGCCGCCGGCCCCAGCGAAGCCGCCCCGCCGCGCCCCCGCCCCCGCCCCCGCCCCGCCCGGGCCCCCACCTCGGCGGCCACCCCTCGCGGACCTCGGCGCGCGGGCACCGGAGACCGCGAGGGCCGCGCCGCCACCGACGCGCCGCCTGCGCATGCGCGGGCGCACCCACCGGGCTCGCGCCCGGGACGGAGGGGCGCCCCGCCCCCGCCCCGCGAGGCCCCGCCCCTCTCCGAAGCCCCGCCCCGTCCCGCGAGGCCCCGTCCCTCTCTGAGGCCCCGTTCGTCTCTGAGGCCCCGCCTCCGTCCGTGAGCCCCGCCCCGTCCCGCGAGGCCCCGCCCCTCTCCGAAGCCCCGCCCCGTCCCGAGAGGCCACGCCCCTCTCTGAGGCCCCGCCCCCGTCCGTGAGCCCCGCCCCGTCCCGCGAGGCCCCGCCCCCGCCCGTGAGCCCCGCCCCGTCCCGCGAGGCCCCGTCCCTCTCTGAGGCCCCGCCTCCGTCCGTGAGCCCCGCCCCCGCCCCGCGAGGCCCCGCCCCTCTCCGAAGCCCCGCCCCGTCCCGAGAGGCCACGCCCCTCTCTGAGGCCCCGCCTCCGTCCGTGAGCCCCGCCCCCCGCCCCTCTCCGAGGCCCCGCCCCCGTCCGTGAGCCCCGCCCCGTCCCGCGAGGCCCCGTCCCTCGCTGAGGCCCCGCCTCCGTCCGTGAGCCCCGCCCCGTCCCGCGAGGCCCCGCCCCTCTCCGAGGCCCCGCCCCCTCCCCGAGGCCCCGCCCCGACTCCGGTCCAGCCTCGCCGTGGCCGAGCCCCTCCCTGCGAGGCCTGGGTCCCAGCCCGCTGGCTCTGGGGGAAGTCCAGCCCCAAGGCTCCGTCCCTGGGGACGCCTGGCCTGGGATTAGGGTGGTTAAATGACCCTCCTACCCGGTCCTGGAGCGGAGCTCTCCTGCCCTAAGGGAGGCCTCTCCCCCATCCCACCGCAGGGCTTGTCCAGCTTCCTGAACCCTAGCAGTCCCCTGGGATCCAGGACCCCAGGTGGTCCAACCTGTCTCCACCTCTCCCACCCTTTGGAGGTGGTGGGGGCGCAGGACCGTGGCCTCCTCTCATCGGGCCTTCTCTGGGGATGGGGCCCATCCCACTCTCCCACTCTGAGCAGGCCCCAGCAGCATAGCCTCCCCGCAGCCGTGGGCACCGGGTGCTCCCCAGGGGTACTGTGTGTGTCGGGCCCTGCAGCTGGAACTGTGGTGGGCACAACCCTTCAAGACATCAAAGTAGGTGCCTGACCCCATGCAGGTGTCTTGGGAGCTGACCCCCCGGCAGCCAGCACAGCGTCAGCCTTCCCACAAGGCACGGGGTGCAGGAGAGGGTGGGAGTGGAGGGCCGCAGGGGCAGGGAGGCTCGTGTGCACGGTGGCCATGTGGGGATGCCTCCCCTAGCTGGAAGCACAGGCCCCCTGCTTGGGGCAAGCCCAGAATGTTCCCCTGCAGTGAGGGGGCCTCAGCACACCCTGCTGTGTCAGGAGGACGACTGCCTCTTCTGTTGTGGACATTCAGCCCTCCCCAGCCCCCGCCCTGGCCTCCCTCTGTGCAGGGGGCCAAGGTCTGCGCTCAGTAATCCTGGCCCTGGCCGGGCAGGCTCTGGAGGAGTGCGTGGGGCTTCAGGGAACAGCCCCGAGGAAGATCTCATGAGCCTTTCTGCTGGGCCCGCCACATCTTCAACCCCCCCCAGGACCCCTCCAGGATTCCTGGGCCTCACTCAGCAGACAGGAAGTCCGGCCTCAGGAGGGGAGGGGCCTGGCAGCCGCTGGAGAGGATCCCCTGTCTGGCTGGGAGGGGGTCACGGCTGCAGACTTTCCGACCGACCGTGCCCCGGCTTGGGCAGCAGTGTGGCCCAGGGCACCGTGAGGGGAGCTGCAGGCTGGGCAAGGCTCACTGCTTCTCCACCCCCTTCATCTCCTCCCCGTGGACCAGTCCCCTGCTGCCAGTCCCCTGCTTGCCCACGGGGAAGAGGACAGGTCCAGGGGCTGTCACGCAGGGGGTCAGCCGGCTCGCACACGCAAGGGGCACAACACTGCCAGGCCTGTGTGTCGGGGCGGGTGAGGAAGCTCCTGCCCGCCGCGGGCTGTGCCAGAGGGTGAAGATGCTGTGGCAGCCCCAGGGCGGGAGGCTCACAGGCCCAGGCCCCAGGAGCCCTGGGGAGCAGCAGCCGAGATGGGCCCACCGGCAGGGTACCTGCTCCGCTGGCCCTGCAGCCTGGGCCCTGCCCCCGGGAGGCCCTGACGCCGCCGCAGCCCACACCTGCTCCCCTCGGTACCCGGGCCCAGGGCTCCCGGGGGCTCCTTGCGCCAGGCCTAGGCCTGGGCTCCTGCGGGCAGAGGCTTCTGGGAGGAGGGCAGAGGGGCCAGGCTGGGGGCCTGACACCCCCGCTCCAGAACCTCCATCAGAGGGGCAGGAGCTTTGGGCACTCACGGGAGACATGAGGCGAGTTCTCAGGCCAGGCCTCTCCCTAGGCTGGAGCTGGGACGTCCCGTGTTCTTTTCCACGTCCCAGAGCCTGTCACACAGCCACGTGGCAATGCTCCGTCTGCTTTGATGAGATCTGGTGGCTCTTGCGTGGTCTTTTTAGCTGCAGCCGCCAGGCCCTTCCTCATCCTGTTGAGGCCACGGGACACCCCGCCCTGCCCGGGTGCAGGCGCATGCTGGTGGGGACTCTGGGCTGAGCACCCTCCAGGGCTGAGGGCCAGGCCAGCCGTGCCCGGGGTCACCCTTGCGGTAGGCCGGGTCGGGGAGCCTGGGCAGGCAGGGCACGTGGCCTTGACCTGGCTGCGGCCACCTCCCCGTGGGGCCGCCTCCCGTCGAGGTGTCACAGGCCAGGTCCTCGCGAGTGGGGGCTGGAGTTGCGGGGTGCGCGCTGGGGCGGGGGCTGGGGGGCGGAGCAGTGGGGCCTGCGAGGCGCTGGAGTGAGAGGTTCCGTGAGGGGTGGCTGGTTGGCAGGGCCTTTGCCCCCAGTGCGCTCGGCCAGCACGGCTGCCGGGGGACCGGGTCCCGAGGCCCGGGGGCTGGCGGCGGGGGCTGTGCGCTGACCACCCCCAGGCAGGGCCTTCCCTGGAGGACTCCGATGCCCGTCCCCGCAGGCCACCCTCCGGCTGCCTGCCACAACCCATGGCTTCCTCAACCTCACTGGTGTCCTCAGGAACAGAAAATCCGAAAGGGGGAGGTTTTCCTTGAAACTGTAAACAAGGGAGCCCCCGGGTGTCTCAGTGGCTGCACATCTGCCTTCGGCCCAGACCATGACCCCGGGGTCCTAGGATGGAGTCCCATGTCGGGCTCCCTGCAGGGAGCCTGCTTCTGCCTCTGCCTGTGTCTCTGCCTCTCTGTGTCTCTCATAAATAAATAAATAAATAAAATATTTTTAAAAAATTAAAAATAAATAAAGGTTGCTGCTAGAGGGCCTGGCTTATCACTCCGGCCGCAGGTGTTTGGGGTAAGGGAAGAGCAGGGCTGGGGCTCTCAGGGCTCAGGCTACTCCCAGAGGAGGCCCCCCCCCCCCCGGGACCACAGCAGCCCAGCCCTGCCCCCCACCTTTGGGTCAGAGGTCTCCTTCCCCAGACCGCAGCTCTGCAGGCTTCCCTAGCAGGAGCTGGTGCCTCCGTACAAGAGGTTAATGCTCCGGACTATGGGGGGCACTTCCTGCGGCCGGATGATGCCCTGGGGGCGGGACCGCAGCCGGTGTTCCCATCATCTTACCTGTGGAATGGAAAGAGCCCGACTCACAGGCTACTTTGAGGTTAAAGATGCTTCACGTAAATGCTTAGACCGGTACCGAGCACGTAGCAGGTGCTCAGCGAAAGGCATGAGCTTTATTAATTGCGCTTTTCACTGCTGGAAATTAACCTAATTTGCTTACTAGGTGGTTAAGTAAAATCTGCAGGAAGGCGGTGCCCGGGGGGGGGGGGGGGGGCTTAGTGGTTGAGCGTCTGCCTTTGGCTCAGGGTGTCACCCCGGGGTCCCAGGATCGAGTCCCACGTCGGACTCCCTGTGTGGAGCCTGCTTCTCCCTCTGCCTGGGTCTCTGCCTCTCTCTCTCTCTCTCTGTGTCTCTCATGAATAAATAAATAAAATCTTTAAAACATTTAATAAATATATTTGATGAAAGGGTGAATTGAGTAATAAAAGATATTACAGATGAAGGAGTGAGGAGGTCAACAAACATTCTCCCCAAAACGCAAATGTAAACCTGGAAAAAAAAAATGTCAGAAACAACCATTTTAGCGTTCTGAAATTCAACCCAAGGCACACAACAAACTGGAAAGGGTTCATTCACCAGAAATACCGAACTTTAGGATAAAATCCAAAATTACTCAGCATAAAAGCACCAGGAAAAGCGCAGTTGGTGCGGGAAACCACAGCGAACCCCGAGACGCCGAGACGCCGAGATGCTGGACGATGTGACAAAGGCCGTAGGGCAGCTGTCGCAGGATCGGACCCACAGGCACTCGTGAGCACCCGTATCGAGTGATGGGGAACGAGCTTTGGCAAAACCCAGCTCACGGCAACTACCCAGCAGATGGGGAATAGAGGAGAGGGTGTGCGATGGATCCTGGAGCAGCGATGGAGAACTTAGGGCCGGCGCGGCCAGCCTTGTGCGCGACGGAGAAGGACCGCGTCTTTGCCCCGGGACCGGGGACTGTCCACTGCCGCCGCCGCCAGTATCCTGCACCTCCTGGACGCGTCAGCCGGCACAAGGCCAGAAAGAGAAACAAAAGACACACGGACCGGCCACGAGGAGTGAGAGCATCCCTGTCCGCTGGTGGCACACGACGGCCTGTCATCAAGGACCCCACAAAAAAGCTGAGTGAACAAGCATGGTGAGCAGGAGGCGGCGTTAGTCCCCTTCCACGGGCCGCTGACGACTGGAAGCAGACGCGTAGACACCGCCGTCTATAAGGTGCGTCCCGGCCGTGAGACACTTAGGTTTAAACCCGGCAAAACTTAGGTGCCAAACATAAAATGCCAATGACAGAAGCCAAGGAAGATGAGGGAAACAGAGGCTGAGCCCAGCACACACGTCCAGCCCTGCGGCCCGACGCGCGGGCCCGGCGCAGG